GAGGAAGAGGAAACATCTGAAAAGAAAATATCCACTTATATTTTCCACACAGATTTATAGTTGAATGAAAATGTGTTTTTGTATTTTAATTGTGTTTCAGTCATCTTTTTTGCTCACTTGTTCCATATATTCACCACTCTGTGTTTGAAACAGACTGCCCTGTGTTAACACTGAGCCTGCTGGATTAAACTGCTGGAAGCGTTCGTTTGGCTTGCCAAACAAATGTGTTTTTGTTCGTCTTGTTTTTTAGGCTGAATGATTTGTATGCTTTAACCTACCCTTGTAGGATGTAAATTTCCCATTAGACACAGTTGAAAATTGTATTTATATATGATATATATGTTATGTATATACGTTACATTAATGTATTGCATTTCCCCATTGAGGATTTGGTCTCACACTGTAATGCATGCTGGTACATAGCTTAATACTTTATGTACGTATCAAATTAAATTAAATTTAACATGAAATTGAAAGTGAAATTGCATGAAAGTCTTTCTGAAAACCAACACCATGTTATTAATTAGATTTGGTTGGATATTAGCTTAGTCACTGCATTCATTAGCCCTGCATAACTTCTACATTTGTGCAGCGACAATGCAAAGGTTTTATTTTCCTGTCTAATTATTATATTTCTAAAAATCTCATGTAGATTAGCCAGTTTTTAGATGCAATCTGTATGTAATCTTTGATGTTTTACCTCGTTAGCCATTTCCTCAATTTAGGTTTCTAATGTCAATTCACATTGATTACATTATTATATTATTTGCTGTCAGAAGTGAGTTTTGTAGATTTCCTGTGTAAATCTGTTTTGAAAAACAGTTTTCTAATTTCTTTGTTTGAAGTTGGATCTGTACCATCAAGTCTAGTTATTTGCTCAGTAAGATACTAATTCTTTGTCTAGTTCATGTGTACTTCACACTGTGCAGTGCGTGGGCCATCTGTAGAGAATGTAAAAAACGCCCCGCAGTGGCTGTAGCTGTTTATTTTCTCAGTTCTTTAACTATAAAAACCACAAGTGCTACAGCATTATCAACTGTGAGGTGGCACAAGTTAAACCTTGCAAATATTAAGGGACAACAAGTTAATTTATCAAATGTACTGTAGTTGGACATCATATTCAAATTGTTTTGAGCAAAATTCAGTTCAGCCTGATGCTGAAAGGTGATACGGCAAGGTTTGAGATACTTTTTTACAAATATCGTCCTTAGTACATTACTTTTTTTCTATTTAAGCATGCTTCCATTTGAAAAAGATATATTTTTTCATTGTCGTGTTCAGGAAATGAAACCCTTTTATATTATAGTTTCATAGTATGCCATCTAAGGACATTTTTTGCCATCTCTGACTTGGTGTGTTTATTTCAGTGTGTCCTAGAATATTAAGTGCTCTTTGGCTGGTTTTATCTAACTTGTGGCCTAGGAGGAACAAACTACCTGAGGGAGAAAAAAATGCTAACCGTATTCAATTGGAATTCCCCACAAGTATTACTTTTGTTTTGGGTATTTCAGTATGCATATGAATACTACTCCATTTAAGATCTCATTTCTACAATTTAAAGCAAGTGTAATACAGGTCACGCTTGGATTTTTGCACAGATTCTCTGCTTAGGATGTGGAGTTGGTGTTGTGTCCTTGTGCTGGAACTATACACTTGGGGTGTGCACCTACTGTATTTAACTGGATACTGGATTTGGCAGCTCGTCCAGTCCTGGGGGACTAGAGACTTGCTCTTCAACTTTCAGGTGTTGGAAGTTGCTAATTTTATTATTTCTTTGCATAAGGTAAATTCCTGCTCTGGGTTTGATGTTCCTGCAGGCTTTTCTTTTGACAGCCCTAAAGGAGTGCTTTAAGTTGCTCGTGAAGCTGAGTATTTACATAACTGACATGGCCTGAATTATGTTTAATAGCTAAAGAAATGTATGTTCTTCTGGCTATAGCCAGATATAAACAGTTTTATCTGTGTTTCCCATAGTATCCGGTGTTATTTTGCACAAACGTTTATTTTTCTTAATATTCTGCTTTCCAGAAGTTATTCACTGGTAGCTGAATCTGTGGGTGTGGAGTTTCTACATGTTTTTTCTCACACTGAACTTTGGACATTTTAATTATATTAGAATGTATCAACAACTGACTGGGGACAGTTTAGAAGACTCATCACTTGCATGTCTCTCACAATATAGTGAATTAGCACTTTTTAAGCGGTGTGTTGAAACAGCTTTCCGTATTAACAGTACCTCCATATCCCCCATTTCACATTTTATGTCATTTCATAGTTTGAGAGTTATTCCAGCACATTCTGTTGCCCTTTTTATGAGAACTGCTGAGTTGATGGTTCTCAGTTGTTTTTTTTTCATTTTGGATACTAGGTTGGGTCATTTTGGGTACTGCTGAGTCGATGGTAACTAGGTTTTTTTAAATTGTTCTTCTGAAACTGAAATTGTTGCTTTTTCAGTAAAAAGACTGAAATGTAAAATGGTACCCTAATGACATATATCACATTTTTTAGTTGTGGTTGGTGATTCTGTGGGATAGGCACAGTCAAGGAAAGAGAACAGAAGTTATAGATGTTTTGAAGAACGTTATCAAACAAAATATATTTGTCAGTATTACATACTCTTATTCTTTATTCTACTAATTTTGCTGTTCTTATTCTAAAAGGAGGATTCTGCTAGAACAAAACTGTTTCTGTCATTCTTTTCTCAATGATATTCATATAAAAGTATGTAAAACAAGCATATAAAACAGCACTCTAAATTTTATCAATACCATTTCCTTTTCTAAAACTGCTGTGGAGGTAACAGCTGTATTTTGTGGCTTTGGTAGGTCAGATCTCTAATGATGTTTGTAACTTGAAGAAAACATGTCTCACAGAATAACAGACATAAAGGTATTTAATCAGTCCTTTACACATCGTTGATCTTTAAATTTTATTTTTTTTTGCAGGCCCTGGTGTTGTATGATTTCACAGCTGAGCCTGGAAACAATGAATTGACAGTGAAAGAAGGCGAGACAATCACTATTACTAACCAGGTAAGCGTGTGACATGGCCCGACTCCAGTGAAGAGCACATGACGGGTGTATCTGTGCAGTGGCAATTTCGCAGTAAACATTATCTCTTTAGTTTTGATCAGTTATGCATTGATGTTGGTTTCTTTTTATTGAATGCAATACTAACAGTTAAAAATGACTAGCTATAGGAAAGAGTTTTTTTTTTATTATATTGTCCACTGCACTAAGAAATAAAAATTCCCAAATCTATTGAAAGGACATTTTTATTTGCACAACACATTCATGCCTGACGTATAAACATTACCCCTGATAGAAAAGGCCAAGGCCAATCTTCCAGGTACTGCTGTAGGTAAGCTGTTTGCTCTCAGCTTTATGTTAACTGTCAGTGTTTCCCAACTGCTTTTTTCATGATGCCAAAGCTCTGAATATCCACTTGCTAATGCATTAGCCCAGCTCTTTGCAAAGAAATCTGAGATTTTTAAGATCTAAAGCCCAGCAACCCTCCCCCAACCCTTAAAGAAATTACAAACCCAGCACTTGATGTCAACCTCTTGTTTCCTTTTGCAGATACCCATTGGAAGCCTGGATTTATAATGATCAGTAAACTAAAGAATGACCTGAAATTTGGTGGTTCCAGGTGCTGGTTTTGCCTTTACATTTCTTGTTTCTGTTTTTTTTAGACTATCGGCGGAGGTTGGGTGGAAGCACAAAATTCCAAAGGCGAAGTAGGTCTGGTTCCAGAAGACTATATTGAGGTATGTTAGTAGTTATTTCATTTGTCATTCATGAAACATTTCAAGTATGTTTTATTAATGGGAAAAATGTGAGCGGAATGACATGAAGAGCACGTGTACATGGTACATCATCTCAAGATTTATGAAGAGTTTAAACAACAGTGAAATCCATACAAAAGCTTTGCCACAAAGACATTACAGTTGGTTGTATAAAGAACGTGGAGATACCCCAGAAATGTTACTTCTCAGCTTATTTGAATTCTAGGTTATATATTGTTACAGCTTTGGGTGACTGAGAAGTGTCTCTTAAGATTTTTACATAAAGTTTGTGACACTGGGAAGAGTAACACTTCTAACTTCAAAGCAGAGAGGATGTTTGCTGATGTCTTGGGGGTCCCTTGCAGAAACAATAGTAAAGTTTTTCTTAGTATGCCTAGCCAAGTTGTAGATTAATGATTGCAAAGGAGAAGGGCAAAAGACCCAGTATAAGTTCACATTAAGAGCACAGGAGAAAAGAGAGAAGAGGGAGGAAGGGGAGAGACAAAGAGTGGAGAGAGAAAGGAAGAAACAAGGACTTGGGACTTCTTAGAGAGCGTGCTTTTCCGTGTTTTTAAAAGATACCTCAGTTAGAAATGTCTTTCCTGCATTTTATGGATAGGGATATAGGTTCCCATTTATTTTGTGGCATCCAGGGTGCAGAAAGAGAGATTTAACTGCAGGTTGCTTTGGATTTAGTTAGAAGCTCATCTCTTGTGTGGCCTCTGTAGGCATATTAAGAGTTTAGTGTTAGTAGCAGTCTGGGGTTTTCTGGGTGACCAGAATGTTAGGTCTCTGAAACGCCTTGTTTGTAAATACAGTACATGAGTTTTATGTTTTGTGTCTTGTGTAGTTTATTGTAATAAAAGTTTGTTTTAACCAAGTGTGCCAGAGAATAAATAATAATAATAATAATTGCTTACACTTATATAGCGCTTTTCTGGACACTCCACTAAAAGCGCTTTACAGGTAATGGGGACTCCCCTCCACCACCACCAATGTGCAGCATCCACCTGGATGATGCGACGGCAGCCATAGTAAAGGATTCACGTGCCTCTAGTTATACCACCCGCTCGGGAAATTGCTAGATCTCACTTACAAGTCTGGAGTTATGAATAATCATTTCACTTATTAACTAAACCGCTCGGTCAATTCCTGTTTTTAACCAGCTTCATGACCCACCCCCTCCATTTGTAACAATATAAAATGTCAATCCAGGATTTCAATGCCCTAACCCCGAGTGAAGTGATTTCTGACTCTTATAATGTTACCTGCTGACGAATGTCATAAAGGGCAAGGGAAGACAAACCTTTAGCTCTGCTTGGGCAGGAGGGCAACAAAGAGCGATTTTCGCTACTTGCTTGACTTTCTGAATCACCCCCCACCAAAAAAAAAACATTTCCAGAAATGCAGACATCAGCTTGTTGGGGATCTGGTGATTTAGTGCTACCAAAATGACTACATCCAGGACAAAATGTTGGCAGCTCGACTAGTTTCTTTATACTAGATAATACGCTAGTTTTGTTGTTATATCAACAGTGGCATCTAGGGTAATTTGGACACTGGGATATCAGTCCAGTTCTGAAGAGATGGTTTAGCATCTGATCGTATGGTATGGTATACAAACTGATGAGTTTGTATATTTGTAAGTGGCAGAAGCTAAAACCTCCATTTAAAGAGTGATTTGTAAATGCTCGGTCTGAGGTCAGAAGCTTTGCTTGTTTACAAATGTCCTGGACAGTTGGAAGCTAGACTGCTTATACAAGAGACCATAGTGCAAGTGGAGGGCGAGAGAAGGGGACTTGGCACAGAAAGAGGAAAAGGCCCATCTGAGTGCAAGTCTGTTTTTCCAGCTGTGGAAAAATGCAACAGGATGCTACAAGTCAGACCTCAGGATTCAGTTTTTTTTTTTACTTTTTTATTTTTAAATATTCCAAATCACTATTTTGAATCATTCCCCATCTCGCTGAAAGTAGGGGAATTCCACACATCAAATACTTTTAAGTAAAAGAAGAACACAGTTATCTTACAGAACCTGTTACCTTTGTTTTACATGACGTCTATGTTTTTAAAAGTCACATAAGTTTGACTGCTGAGATGTGTCATATGACTCCCAGGATTTTTAATTTCCTTACTAATTGTGCTCTGTTTTAGGTGAGTATTGGGGTTTTTTACTATTTGCTAGCCTGTATTTTTACTTTTGATTCATCATCAATTCAAATGTTCATTACTCATGTATTTCTTTCATACACATATATATATCATGTATAGTTCAGGTGGGTAGCTGCGTCAGCATGTGTAAGCTGCAAAGGAACAAGTAATAGGTTTATTCCATGCTGAAAAAAGAAGAAAGAAAACACAACATTTCGGCCGTGGAGCCTTCTTCAGGTGTGAAGACCTGAAGTCACACCTGAAGAAGGATCCACGGCTAAAACTTTGTGTTTTCTTTCTTCTTTTTTCCAGCATGGAATAAACCTATTACTTGTTTCTATATCATTTATAGCTAACTGTCTGGATGAAAAAGTGCAGTCACATAAGTACATAATATCTTTAAATAAATATAATATATTAAAAAATGTAAATAAAATATCTGTTGTATTTTAACTTTTAAATAGGCAGTTACTTAATCTGATGAAAAGGTTAAACTCTTCATAAAACAAAGTGCATCATTGATATGTCACATTTCTGTAAACAAACTGGTTCTTTTAAAAAGCTCTCAATTCAAAAATAGCTTCCTATCATGATTTTAGCTATCCCTGTCATATTATGAATGATTTTTAATGCCTGCTTTCAACAAGGATCTTCAAAATGCAAGGTAACATGCTCAGTGATGGGACCTACTTTTCTGAGCTCTCAAAACATTGGCCAAGATACAACTTCCTTTAGGCTATATACAGTAAGCTTTGAAATATACTGTGAAATAACCTAAACGAAGACACGTAACTCATTCTTCTTTATCTTTGAACAACATTTCATCCCTGAAAAGCTTTGAAGAATGTGTTTCAAAAATTTGGAAAGATTGACCATTACAAATTGCAGATTACAAAGTAGAAGGCTTTCATGCCTTCCAATCATCAGTTGTCATGGATCCATCTGATACCATCATAGGAAAGGCAGGGCGTTATACAATGAATACATCCCAAGTCTTCAGCATTACGTTTTCTTTGAGCCAATCTCTTGTTTGGCCTGTGACAGGAAATCTAGTACTACAGTATACTGTTGAATACACTCTACATGGGTTATTGGGCAAGGATGCATCAAGGATAGAACCCCTTTTCTCATGTCCAAAGACTGGTTATGTGGACCATGTCTCCCTGGGGAGCCTCTCCTACAGGCGTATTACACTTAAGGGGTGTGCTGAGTTCATAACTCCAAGCCTAAACCTGAAACACGAGTCCTGTTCACACATCAACCTAAATTTTGCATGTCATGTCACCCTGCATATCACTTCAGTTATTGCCACCCAGGGTACACCAGTTCATGATCAATTACAGAAAACCGGTAGAAAGTTTTTATTTATATTTTGCTTCCTGGAGTACAATTTATTTCTGTTGTTGCCTCAAAGAATTATGGATAAATTTATGTACAATTCATGAAAATATGAAATTGTTTCAAGTTACTGTTGAAGCCGAAGCGCTGCCTTCTTTCAAGAAATGAAAAATGTGAGATTGTTACTGTATATCGGTTAACTACTAACTGACAAAAGGGAAGATGGGCCATATTTGTAACTTGTTCTTTTAATGTTTAATGTTAATGTTTTAATGTTCTTTATGTCCAAAGCTTGGAATTTATTTAGTTTAAAAACTGAAAAGTTTTGTTTTCAGCATTTTAAAATTTTAGCAAGAGAAAATCATTTTGTAAAGCCATTTGGTATATTGTTGGAATTGAAAGTTTGTTTTCAAGTACATTTCAAATTACAATATTGTCAGTTATTTTTTTTTGTTCGAATGCAACATCAGTTATAATAAAATTACCCCACAATTTCTCAATGAAATTGCTTCCATGTTCAAAAGAGTAGTTAACTAAAATTGTTCTCTTATTGGGCTAAATTAGGAATTCCCTTTCTTGTGACAATACACTTGTTGTTGTTTTTTTTAACCTGGAACGTTTCAAATTGTTCAGTGTGTAAACGTGTAATTAGTGTTTGTGGGATTAGCTTGATTAATTTTATTATCAAAATCCTCATCCATGAAAGTTGAGACATGGTGTGTACAGTTATTTTAAAGTGTTTCTGTGCAGTTACACTGCATACAGTTCAGAGTAAGCAAATAGCGATCTTGTTATGCAGCACTTTTATCCATTTCACTTTAGAAACCAGTGCCATCTGGCTGTTTAATATTACTTACAGTAACATTAAAAATATGGTCAGTGCATTACAATCATCCATCCTGTCCATTAAATAGATTTTTAAAAAGATTCTTCACTTCCATTTATTAATTTAGAAACTAGTGTGGAGGCATTCACTTATATTGAATTCATTTTCTGTTTTTAATTTGCAGATGAATCAAGTCACAGTAATGTTACGTCTATGGTGTTTATTTGTTCGACTTCATACCTTTACAGTTGGGAAAAACAGTAGCTATGCAGTTTGCACACTTAAACCATTTATGACTTAATAATCTTTTGTCATGTAATACAGTTGTATGCCAATTCTGTGGGGAGATGCATGCAAGAAGACCTGAGAATATATCTGATCTAGAAGTGTTCTGCAAAGAAGAGTGGGGAAAATATTCCTAAAACAACAATAGAAAGACTCTTAGCTGGCTACAAGAAACATTGGGGATTTGTGATTTTCTGCCAAAGTACAGTAGGTGTTACTAAGTACTGACTGCCCAAACATTTGCACATGCCACATTCACTGTTTTATTTTTTTCATTCCATTAAATTAATCAAATAATGAGTAAGTTGTGCATTAACATGTGAAGAAATATGTCATGTTTAAGTTTGTATCCTGCAGAAGTTGTGATAATGTCTTTTCACTTGAGAGTTTCAGTGAAACATGCAATTCGACCAGGGGTGCCCACGATTTCTTTCTCACTAAAAGAGTTCAAAACTTACTATACACTTAAATTACTTTAATCGTTCAATATGAAACACAAACCAAAAGGAGCCTTTGGGGAAATGCACTTGATACTGAGAACAGGAAGCATTTTATTTCTGTGGAAGTCTGGCACAAACTATATTGATGCTCCAGGTGACCTCTCCTTGTTTTAAACTTTATGTTCATACCCCAGTGAATTGATACAAAAGTTATGGTAACTACAGTACATTTTTAAATGCTATCAATTTGTTACAAATATTTACTGTTTTAAATGATTTAGTTTTTAATCTTGGAAGGAACAAAAGAAGATAATTCAGCAATAGTGTATATGCATGAAACAATGTTAAGAACAAGGACTGGAAGTATTGGAAGAATAAGGACTATAGTTTAAGCTGAATTTATCTTAACAAATATCTTTCCTGGCAATCACTATCACATGCTGTAGCACAAAACAATTTTTCTTCCCAAGCACAAGTTTGTGCTCTGCTGTTCAATACATGAATACATGAAGTGTTCTTTCATTTTTTATTTCTTAATGTTGTTTTATAAATAACTCTTTTACGTTGGTAGTTTTGAGATGTGAACTCAGTTTGGTTCCAATTTATGATTCATTCTGGAAGCTGAAGTAGCAGTCTGAAGAGCAGCTATGTCTAATATTTTAAATGTTTTGAGATGTTTGAGATTGATGGCTAGAAACTTCAAAAACTATTTCATTCTGATCTTGGTAGAGGCTGTGTTTGAAGCAAGTTAACACCATAAAGTTAATTTCCTGTTGCTGTTCTCTAACTGTAGTTGTAAACTAAATTGTTATTTGTAAGACCCTCATTTGTCAAATATGCAGAATTCCAGCTGAATCCAAATCAACTGGAAAAGCAGAATGTAACAGAGTGTTGTGCAAACTTTGATTTGAATTGCAAAACAAAACACAGCATCGTGTGACAATAAGAGACCTTGCTAGGCAGTACAATATCACTTATTTTAATATTTTATATTTTTTCCCTTTAACATGAATTTTGAATCATATGTTTGAATCATTATTGTTTCTTTGTTTTTCCTAACAACTTATGACTTGCACCTTGGTCAATTTAATCTGCTTAAAACTTTGAAAGCACAAATTATATCTTTATATAATATGTTTTTAATTTGTTTTTTTCAGGTCACTAAACCATCCTCTGGTGGAAATGCAGTACCTGACTTTTCAATTTTTGACACCTTCTCATCTACAACCACTAACACTACAAGCAATCAGGTACATAACTAATATCTTTTTTTAATTGATATACTTTCTAGATTCATTAAATGGTCCATTGTCTCACGTGAGCATATGCTCAGATATAAAATGCTGTTTTACCTTGGTGAAAACATTGTTTGGGGTTTCTTGTAAAAAAAAATGCAAGTTTACACAGGATATGAGTAGAAAGTGTAGTGTGTGTTTGAATCTTCCTGTGTAAGCTGTACATTAAAGCATAGAAAGAGAGGAAGCCATTTGACCTGTCTTCTTGTTTGGTTCATACTACTGCAGTTAATGAGTGCTAGAATCATTTCCAGCTGTTGCTCAAGCTTGTACAGCAGTGGTGTCGTATAATTAAGTACAGTTTTGTAAAGATTTCTAAGAGTGATATATTAAAAATATGTGGTCAGCAATGAAGATTAAAAAAAGATGGCAACCAGTGGTGTTTTTGTTCATTTCTTAGTTGTTAATGTTCTCTTTAATGCTAAGTGACTCTTGCTGTAAATTCAAACAAGAAGAATTTGCCTTCAAACAAGAAAATTGTTCAGCAATGGATGTGGTAGAAGTGTGAAGCAGAGGCGTAGAACAACCTGGTACAATTTAAATTCCAAAGTCAACCCTTGTGCCAATAGAGCACTAAAATAATGTTATGAATAGCAGAGCAGTTTTAGACATGGTAAAAGGTTTAGCTAGCTATCTTTTATTTCCATTATTTTCTAAGCGATCAGAGCACAGACATTTTATCCTCAGAAACATTGCGCTAACAGCAACCTAGAAACACTAGAAATCACTAGACTACAGCTCCATGAAGCAAAATACAATTCATACGAGGGTAAGCCAGCAGCTAAATTATCTTAAAAATAATTGTAATGCAGTTTTTTCTTTTTTAATTCTTTTCTGAATGCTAACCTTAAAACACCTCTGTCTCTCTAATTCATACAGTACATACATTTATAATTATATAGACAAACTCATAGTTATGACTGCTTTCAGGATAGCTCCCATGTCCTGAAATGTCACAGTAAAACTGTTATGTGGTGAATATAAGTTGCAAAGACAAATGGATTAGACATGTGCCTTTACCGATATTAAATCACGACATTTACATGACAGTTACTTTTCTATCGATGGATGCTGATTATAAAGAACTTGGCAGTGCTTGCGTGTTCACCAACATCAGCACTGGCATTAGATTCATTTGTACTTAACACTGGTCTATAGCTGAAATACTTGGGCAACAGTAAATTTGTTGCATTCATATAAACAGATAACAAATAGCATATTTTTTTCTGCATGTGTGTTAACAGACATTTGTTTTAAAATATTTACTGAGTATAATTTTATTCTGAGCTGTGAAAGGCAGCCGTGTTTCTATTTAATACATAATAATACAGTAAAGGCCCTTTCTTCAGTTCACAGAATGTATTCTTTTGGCTGGCTGGGAACCAGCTGAGTTTTGTGAATTATGTGTAGGTCTGTTTTGCACTAAAGCAGAATGTATGGAAATGGGTGTCTATGTTTTAGTGACTGACACACAGTGATTGTGTGTTTTTTTGGGTTCCTGTAATGTACTAGTTTGTGTAGATTCAGCTAACTATATTATTCAAAATAAGGAAAAGCAGCAACACATTATGGAGCTCAGTCAAACATTGTCTGAAAAGCACCACATTCACAATATTTTATTTTAAATAAGATCAAAACATATTTTCTTTAGATTTTAGATCAATTAAGAGTTTATGTGTTAGGGTATTTCACATTCACAGACAACTCTAGAGATGAATGAGGGTATTTCCTATGCTAAAAGATCTTGTGATTGTACATCACCTGGTCTAGTTGCTGGGAAACAAAACTGCTGTAGGTTATCTATTGCTCATTATCAGCTTGGTTTTATCTTAGTGGTATACCAGTAATGTCTCATAGAGAAATATTTACAAAAACAGAAAATAAAACGTATTGCCAGTTGCTTAATGTCTTTAAAACTACACCCATTCCACCCGTACTCTGGCTGGAAATGCTGAATCCAGAAAACAGATTCAGGAAATGATTCAGAAAACAGAATTGGTAAGACCGTCTTTAGAACGAGTTGATAAATCTACCATTCCAGCTCGAATTTCCATTCCAAATGAGGCAATAAATGGGAATGACAATTGGCTGTTCATCACATGATAAAATACGACTTGCAGGTTTAATCAGTGCTAGGGCCTTTGTATTGTACTTCATCTGTGTACAGCGATTGCATTTTAAGTACTCTCTACTGAGATCTCAAAATTCATTTTTGGATGTACTGTACAAAAGATAAAATCACAGAAAATATTTTTCTTATCGGGACATTATTTGAGCTAAGAGCTGAAGAGATTTTTTAATTAAGAAAATCACTCGGGGTCGTTTTGAGGTCCAGAATGCACTTCTGCATCTGCACTAGCCATGTTGTTGATAGCGTGTCTGTAGCCAGTCTGCTGTCCATGTTACGCGCCTGCAGTCTACACTTAACACCATAAGGGAGGCATAAAAACACATAAATCACTCATACCATCCCAATATAATGCCCCAACTGCTCATGGTGCAAGGGTACTGGCCAGCCCAAATCCCAGTGATTTCCCTGTACCGTCAGTCAAAGTCCTAGGGGTGAAGTGGATGAGGTTATGGGCCAAGTAAACATGAGGTATCAACCCATGTCTCAGATCCTGTTCCCTTTCAGTTAAAAGTTTAGTTCAAGAATCACATCAAAGATAAACATCATAAAACTTAAAGTGAAGTACAAACTCTACCCTCCCAGGAGTGTTTTATACTAAGATATCACCAAAAATATATGATCTGCAGTGTAATTTCTTTTGCCAATATTGCAGTGTGAGTATTATATTAATAGCTTATGTGACAGTAATATAATTAAATTAATATTATGCTGTTTATTGAAATTATGTGTTGTATAGTGATTAAATATGTTTGGTTATACAGTTTCGTTATCTGCAATATATTGTTGACAACACCAAAAGAAGTTGAGGAGCTCATATTATTTCTATGATAGGCAAAGAAACAAGTTATGCTGTAGAAATAAAAGCAGTGAAGATCACCAGCTGTGTAAGATTGTGCTACGTAAGGGGAACATACATGCTTTAGAGTTTGTTCTTAAGTAAGTCAGCATTGCATTTTAATTTTACATTGCATTTGATTGCATTTTAAAGGCAGTACCTGCATTCCGAGAACTCTGCCTTTTTTAATTTTTTAATAGTTTTTGATGATTTTAGTAATGGAGACTCACTTATTTGACTGACACCTTTAGCCAAAGCAACTTATGCTTGCATTCCTTTATACAGCAGGATATTTTACTGGAGTAATTTGTATGAAGTGACTGGTTCAAGAGTACAACAGCACTGTCTTACTTGGATTTGCACCCACAACCTTCCAGTTACAAGTCCACAACCCAAACCAGTGCTCCACTCTGCTGTCCTAGTAGCACGTGGCCTTAAATGTGTATTTTTGTTTGTTATAATCAGCTTTTAATATCAAGTGGGTTGCTCTGTCTCTTTGGGAAAGTATAACCAATTGCAGGATATTTTCATAAACATGCTACCATCTTTCAAATGCCTGGGAAACATGCTGTCCTTGTTTATTTTCCTTGTGAGATCCTGCATCAGTTTTTAAACAGGGCTTCGAAGGCCGCAGTCCTGACGCTTTTATAGGTAGCGTGAAATCATTGCATCACATCAAAACACTTTCAATAACTGCTTATCCAATTCAGGGTCACAGTGGCTCAAAGTGGGATACACCCTGGAGAGGATACCACTCACCATGGAGTCATCTATTACTCAATACTTTCAACAAGGCTGCATTTTGCCTGTTTAATAAATGTAGGTACTTTAAAAAAAAAAGTAATGTAGATACCTTCATTTGCAAAGAGCTTACTTGCAAGTCAGAAGCACGGGGGAAATGGGTGTGATTGTCTTTAACATACAGTAGTGCTTCAGCTTCTTTAGAAAGTCAAGAATTTTTGAAAAATATCATCTAGAAAATATAATGATGCTGATGTATCAAAGTTGTGGACTGCTGAATGCTGCTGTATTTCCAAGTGCATGAACATACAGTAACTGTGACACAGGCCCATCCTACCCCATGTGGCTAGTGAACACCCAGTGCACCATATACCAACTCACCAGCATATCCCCGTATTAATATGTGGTCTGTCCTGTTCTTTCGGACCCCCTTCAGAATCATAGCTCTTACATGTTGGTCCCCTCTCTGAGAAGACTGGTTAGTCTTCATAATTCTGGCTGGTCTTCATCTTCTCTGCTCTTCATTCTGTTATCTCCACCATTCAGCAAGGCACCGGCAGCTCTTAGCAAGGTCTCTCGCCGAACCCTTGTAGGGCTTGCTCTCAGCTCCTCATAGCTCTCCTGCAGAAAGTTTGGGCTTAAATAGGGTGACTCACAGCTGCCACCCATTAAAGGCAGCAGCTTCCAGCAGCTGTTACCTCCAAGCCATGCATTAGCTGACACCCCGTCACAATAACTTCTTGTTCTCAGATAACACCAGATTGTTTGCCTGTTTGCTTATGTTAGTGAAAACAGCCCCCTCTAACTAACGGTTATGATTTGTGATTAAATGTCATGTTATCTTTTGTAAAAATGTGTTTATTTTGTCCAGTTTCATTTTTCACTTTTCAGTGAAACTCATTTTTTAGTTGTTATGTATTGAGGTAATGCAATACGAATTCTTTGTTAAACTGGTTAATTAAAGCCCATTCTTGATTTTTGACATGGATTGTTTTTCATTATGGAGTTGTGCACAATAACAAGATGACTTGCATTATTTTAAGGCATTATTTTAAGGTTCTGAGAATTGTAATACTTGTTGTTTTATAAGTTGTTATGAGCAGTATAGCAACATCAGATCACAGAAGAAGTCATCTCTCTCTGAATGTCATGTTCCTCCAGATGGAACTGTGGCTATATTATGAATACTGGTATATTTGTAACAGGTTATGGACTGGATATTAGCTGTTGTGACCTGTCCTTTTGAGACCAGACTCTTCTTAAGAGTTTGTCTGTTACCTAGTAACCTGTTAATAAAAATGATTTGTTAAGAACGGGTAGTACTGATAGGTTAATTGGCTATTGGGAAAATTGGCCCTGGTATGGTTGTGTGTCTGTGTGTTCCCAGTGATGGACTGGTGTCCTATCCAGGCTGTATTCTGCCTTTTACCTGTTGCTTGCCAGGATAGGCTCTAGCTCCCCTCCAACCTAGTAGAAAATTATTGGATGGTCAGGCATGTGTCATGACAATCTGTTAACTTTACTGTGACTTTCACGTCTCCTAAATCTGATTCTGTGAACTAGAACTGCAGCTCGACCTTGAATTTTTCTTGTTGCAAGGCCTAGCTGAGCTGTGCTGTCATGGCCTCCCATGATTAAATGGATTTGGCCAAAACAAAAAATTATTTGGGGTTTTTTGCTGGTTAAGAGAAAACCAGTTTATCTAAAAGGGTTCCCTTTTTAGCCTAACAGTTTTTTGCAGGTGGTTTATATTCTTGGCTCTTCTTTCTCAAGGTGGATTTAGGTGGCTGCACAGCTCAGCCAGACACACCGGAGACTCCGGTCCCTGCTGCAGCTTCCCCCAATGAGGTAACCTGACATGTGGCATGGGAAGCACACTGTGCATGGGTCTATGTCCATGTAACAAACTGCATGATCTCACTGAATCAACACTTCCCCTGTATTCTGATTTACTTTGTGATTTCAAAAACTCAATCAGATTCCCCCTCTTAGATACTACAGGCAGACTGTTGAGGGCTGCTAGTGGTACTTACTAGTGGTACTTCATGCACTATGATGTTGCAATCATGTTTCCAAATGAAAACATTTTCATGTACATTGTATTCACAGTAGTCTGGAACATTGCAACAGGTAGAAAACAAAAAAAAATGGAAGCACCTGGGTAAATAAAGAAACTGGGCGCATATTGAATGCAAGTCAGTCCACACAGGGGTGGCTTAATTAAGCAAAGAACATGCTTAGTATAAAAATGCTGGACATGCCAGTTGCCTATGATTCAGACTGGAACAGCTTCATGAGGAGAAGTGGAGGTAATTTTTGGGATGCATTTGGCTGTTTCAATGACCAGGACAGCAGAACTTTCATGATGTGATGTCAACATGGAACTGAGCGGGAAAGATATCAACAGCAAAGGGCACCATGAGCGGAAGCCCATTCTCCAGCATCATGATCATCTGTGCTTTAATTCGAAATAAAACGCAAAACAAAACAAAAGCCTTGTTATGTCAGATGTGTTATGGTCAGATGAATCATCCTTCACCGTGTTCTGGACAAACAGATAAGTGGATGTCTGGAACCATCCTAAAGAACTTTCCTTTGCCCTGATTTCCAGCAGCGAAGGGTTCATGTAGCTCTGTAATGTTGTTTGGCACAGTTTCCCGAAATGGTTTGGGTGCATTCCCTTAGAAGGCGTGTTCAGCACTTATTCATCCTCGATGGTACTGAGTGATCATCTTCCCGGCAAGAAGAAAAGCCTGCAACGTGGTGTGAAGTGCGTCTTCCAGGCTGGCGTGACCCTATCCCCAGGGTACTCTCGTGGTCTCCCAGTGGTTTGGTGAGCATCACACTAAAGTTGACTGTATGCCTGGGCCTTCTCAGTCGCCAGATCAGAACCCAATCGAGCATTTCAGAGATATTCTGGAACAAGGCATTCTGGAAGAGGCGGCATTACCCATCTGCACCAACGAGGCATGAACTGATTGACTTTCTCTTGAGAAAAACGGTGCCTGTGGAATTCCAGCCACTGGTAAACTCTGTGCCAAGTGTAAACAGGCCATACTGGCCTCGTATGAAAGATCCTACACCCTAATACCCTACTTAGCAACTTCACATTTGTGATTGATTTTTTTGTGCACTGCCTGTGCCGCTTTTCGTAGAAAGCCTCTGAATCTTGTTCTGACTCAGCTATTAATTATGTTGTGGAACCAATTATTGACTTATTTAATCTTAACTACTGCTGTGTTCAAAAGCTACCAAAACATGTGCAGGCTGAGTCAGGAAGGTGTCTAGAATTAGTTTGTAAGCAATTAAACTACATTCCTCAACATTATGAGCAGTCTTGCTGAGAACAAAAAGTGTTTATTTTCTTTACGTCTTATTTTGTGATGGTTCTATTTGTGCTGTTGTGTAATCTGGTAAAAAAAAATAAGCATTTGAAAAATAATAACTGTGAGACAAAATGAAAAGAACATTGCTTGTGTTTTGTCCTTGATCTATAGCTTTTAAGTATGCTTAGATATAGTATATCATGCTAATTGTGATTTTGCACCTCAATCGATTGCCACAAAACCTCAAGTTCAAACTACAGTATTTGCACTCTTATATTTACTGAAATATTAGTAAATCTAAAGTGCACTTCTATAGATTTTGTTCAGTCACTAGATATTTAGAAAGAACAACATTTGTTGATGCTTTAATACTGTATGTTCAGAAAATGTCTGTCCTTTAAACATCTCAAGGAATCACTGTGATAAAAAGAGTGGTTTCTTGTACCTACTGTCACCTGAGGTATACAAGCACTTTCAAATAATGCTTAAGTTTTGTTTGCTGCAGTACATTTTATGAATGAGATTAATTTCTCTGAGTGCCCTAGGGACGGTGAGAATGCTTTAATCTAATTAATGCAGGTTAAGGTTAAAATTAATGAAGGTTTAAATGGTTCCAGCTCATTTGTGTGTAAACATTAATCCCTTAGCCTTTGGATCCTAACCTTTATCCGTTTTCTCTTTGAAGACGTCTGCTGTATTCTTTAGAGGATATGAGGAAGGTTGCCATAATTGATGAGCAGTTACAATTTATGTCCACTAAATGAAATGAAATGCCATAAAAGTATTTTAGAAGTTTCTGTAAGAAAACAAGGACATGAATACTGAATGCATTACCTTTGAAAACCTCTGATACCACCTCTGAACCAGCTCTTTGACTGATTTAACAGTTTGTCCTCTAGAACTAATCTCTTTGTTACATCTGAAAGTGCTTTTTTCTGTTTTGCCTGCCAAGTGTTTGACTGCCTTTGTTTGACTGAAAGGGAAGGCTACGGATTCCTCTCTACTTCTCTTGAACTTACTGCATGGTCATTTGCAGTTCAATATGCATGTCAATTGACTGAATAACAGTTTGTCCTCTAAAACTAATCTCTTTGTTATATTTTATTAGAATATTTAAAATTACATTTAAAAAATAAACAAATGTTAGTTGGTAAAATCTGTTCGATACCCTTTCAAGGGGCAACAAAGAACTTTGGTCAAACAAAATGGACCCTTTCTGATCTGCTCAAGGCTTGTGTCAGACTGGGGGACAATGTAATTTGTCTAAGGCTTGTCAATGGGCTGCTGAACTCAAAGGGGACACTGTATTGCCAGGAGCCAAGAGGGTTCTGGGTATCTAATCTCACCCTCCCATAGATACTGTGCAGCCACCTGCACCCCTCACGAAATCCCAGTCACAGTGAAATAGCAGGGGTTAAAACGTGTTGCCTCAGTTATGGATTTCCACCTGCACTTGGCCTTATGAATTCAGCACGCAGGAGCTCTGTCTCAGTAATTGGTTCAAATAGCAAAAATAACAATGAATCAGACAGAGACCTGAAAAACAAGAGTTTATTTAGCTACAACAGACTACAGATGAGCAAAGATCAAGTGCTAGGAAAAATATCTTGGTCACTGCAGATGAGTATTACTTCTCTACTAGAATACGTTGTCAGTGTGGAAGAGTACACTATGAAAGTTTAAGATATTAGCAAAGCCTTTCTTGATTGATGGGAACTATACAGTATGTAGGCTCTATAGTTTACGGAGTAGGAAGTGCATCATTCATTCTGTACCTCACTCTTCTTTTAGGACTTCATTTACAGGAGTAAGTAAGAATTGTATCTAGAATTAGTTTTAATTTTCCTTGAGAAAAAAGTTGGACTGGGTTGTACAGGAATGATCATTGGAGCCTGTTTCCTGTTCAAAGCAATTCACCCAATGCACAAAGGACATTGGTAGGCAGTTGCAACTGGAAGAGTATCTAGTAGAAGTAGTGAGAATAGGAGTGAGTTAATTCTCTGTAGGTTGGTTTGATTGAATGCTGATCACAACAACTTTGCTCTAATTTTCATTTGAGAAATAGTGTGCTAGAGTTAAAGAATAATTATTCTGTATGAACCCCAGACTTTGGCTGCCTTGCCTTGTAATGTAGAATCAACTCATCGGAGGAAAATGCATTTTTGATCATTCTTAAAAATCCAGGATTCCTCCATTGTTTATAACAAGGTGGTCTTACAATATTACAGGCAAACGATAGCAGCGACCCTTGGTCTACCTGGAATGCTGGTACTACTGGAAACTCAACTAATAATTGGGGAGGAAAAACTGAGAGTACAGAAGCAGCAACACCAAACCCAGCAGGCAACTGGAACTCGACAGCACATGGACACCCACAAGCATACCAAGGTCCAGGTATGGATTAAACCATTTATATACAAGAGGGAAGGTTCCTTACAGAATTTTACAAGTTATAATCAAAACTCAATTTGTTCTGATATACCTAGGGATGTGGTCAATTACATTGACAACTCATTTATTTCAATTACAAAGGCTAACCTTGCAGTTCTCTAGTTGGTGATTGAAATAAATAAACTTTTAGACAGGAGGCCAGACTTTCTGTCTAGCACATATGGTGATATAATGATGTGTTTCTTCTGTTATGCTCATTCGGACTGAAGCACAAGGGAAGAAAAATACAAAACACACTCACTTTTGTTCAGATGTTTCATTAGCAAGGAAAACTACAAGATAATCTCTGAAGTGTGGCAATGCATCAAACTTTGCTTGCTATGTCTTTAAGAAGGTCAGTAATATCACCGCAGCACTGCTGAACTAATGACAATAAATATTACAATATTAGATGAAATATATATATATTATATATAATAATTATATATTTATATAAAATATATTTAAAAGGTTATTAGACATCTGTTTTTATTATATCCTGCAAAAATAAATATCAGCTCTTGAAGCAACATAATCCTTACTTTCTAATTTAAAATATGTTATAAAATGAAAATGTATACAGCTCCTTAAGTGTTATCACCTTATATCTTTCTAGTACAGGTATATAAATATAGGTGAGGACCCTGGTAAGGTAATAATGCCAGTTCGTGTTGTGATTTTTGTTTTATATCTTTATAGCATTGTTTCCATTTGTCAAATTGGACCTTGCACACAGGATACTCATTTAGGATTTACAAGTTATACAGTACATTGTACTATACATCCCAAGATGCAACGTGTTACTGTATGTTCACCATCATAACAGTTTTATGTTTCCAGTATGATCCAGTGCTGGATGTTTTAATCCTTATTTTCACATTTTTATTATTATTCTGTCAGCCCTAAGAAGGCCGTCCTTTTTAGTACAACTCTGCACTTAAGTGCCAAGGTTAATAGTTCATATTTTCCTGTGCAGCTGTTTTATATATGACAATACTAACCGCCCTCACTCTCAACAACATTTCAAATATACTGATGGAAAAAAGAACCCCAGCATTTTCTGGAATGAGAATACTATAGTTATAGCTTATGTACTTTCATAAAAGGTTATCAATTTGTTTTAAGCCTTCTAACCAGCAATACACCTTTTTCAGTGAGGCATTGCAACTTGCCAATCACATGAAAGCTCGTTAGGTGCACTTTTACCCAACGAGGTCCAAGTGGAACAATGCCTGATAAGGTCACCTTTCAAAAGGCCTTAATTCAAAGCTTAGGTCTCTGCAAGAAAAAGGCCACAATTAGTCAGTTTACTGTGCATTCCATAATGCCTCGAATGTCACCAGAAGCAAGGGAGAGGGCCCTTGGCATGCTGCAGGCAGGCATGTCATGTGCCAGCGTTGCCAGACACTATGGAGTGAGCCGCTCCACTGTGTCCCGACTGCAGAGAAGGTTTCAGCAGACCGACAGGACAGATGACTGTCCAAGATCCAGTCGCCCTCGAGTGACCACACCAGAGCAGGACCGACACATCAGACTGGTCCATCTGAGAGATCGTTTCAGATCTGCCACCTGTACTGCTGCTGAAACTGCCGACAGACACAATGCCTGCATCAGTGTCAGGACGGTGAGGCTCCATGCTGCTGACCTTAGAGCAAGGCGACCTGTCAGAGGCCCTCTGCTCACACCTCCTAGATGTCACGCCCGACTGGCTTCAGCCAGACTGATGGACTCGTCAGCAGTGACATCAGGTCTTCTTCCCAGATGAGTCACTCTTCACCCTGTTGAGGTGTTGCATTTCTTTTTTCCACCAGTATATATTGATACATTATCAGAAGCTGGTTGTTCCTGGTAAGGGTTGTGGTAACCCAGAGCCTATCCTGTAAACACAGGGTGATGGTGAGACTTCATCCCAGAAAGGACACAGTCACACAGAGACAGTATAGTCACACTAATGAAGGTAGCCAGCATTTCCACATGGGAGGAAACTAGAGATCCCACGAAAATCCAGATGAACATGGGGGGAACTTGTAAAATCCACAGAAGGTACCCAAGTCTAGAATCGAGCCCCAGCCTTAAAAGCAGTGACTGTGTAGCACTAATCACTATCTCATCATGCTGCCCCTTTTGAACCATACTTATTATTTTAATTCTTGCACTGCAAGTTAACTACAGGTAGCTGGATTTCCATGGATGAAATTTAAGATAAATGTAATTTGAGTAAGGGCACACCGATATTAATAACAGTTGCAGTATTTGTTTATGGGTTGTACTGCAGGAGTGACGTACTGTATCATGATTGTAAGAATATACAGTATATTAATGTAGTAAAAACGTATTAGAAAGAAATATGGTAATATCAAAACTATAAAAACATTTTAATTTTTTGTAATAAATCATATGTTACAAATATCTTTCTGAATGATTAATTTTATATCATTTTAATGGGGACATTCAAGCAACACCGTTTTTTTTGTTTAGATAAGCATTTTCAAGTGCAGTGATCTTCCCAGATTTCTTTATCAGTATTGATAAAAGATAAAACTCACAGTCAAGTGAAACAAACTTGTGATAAGCCTTTCCTCAGAACAGTTATCACTTCTTTTACATTGTGAGGGACTGCTTTCTAAGATTTTTAAAATCCCCAAAGGGGGAAGTTGATGTCTTAGTTTAGAACTTCCTTAATACTATGACAAAGGGAAAAAATGAAAAAGGAAACAAGTCCGAGATACTTCTTTGCAGAATTGCTTTGTCTGTGTAATGTTCTTACACTCATAATTATGGTTGCCTTCTTTTCAAATACAAAAATGCACCACCTACTTCTTGCACATTTGGTTTCATTTTCCATTTTGCTTGGAGTTAAAAACTTGAGAAACAGGCCTTGTTCTGGTGACCACTGCTTCAAGGCACTGTACCATAAGCCATGGTGCACAAGAGTTGCGGTACATACAGTTTAAGCTATGATCAGGAAATAGCTTGCATTTTTAGAGGATTAAAAATTGTGAATTAAAGAGGCAGTGCAGAAATACTGTACTGTAAACCAGACATATGTTTGTGAAGATTACATCTCCAGCTGTACGTGGTGTATGGCAGTACAGAGTACTTTCTTTAGATTTATTTTACATTTTTATTACTGCTACTGCTATTAAGTCAATTGGATGAAACATCTGTGCACACTGAGGACACAAAACGTCTGCTTTGGGATATCCCTGAGCTCCAAATTGCTCTGCTCGGTCCCCTCTGATCGTGTCATAGCTCATTAGATTAAATTGACAGTTTTGTATACTTTTATCACTGAAGAAATTTAGAGAACATTTGTCTCGTACAAACTGAAGTGAGTGGAATCCCAGATGGAGTTTGCTATAGTTCTGACCAAGAACCAGAGTTCACTTATGCTGCTATTTGGCAAGCACTGCACGTTATAGAATTAAACTTACTCAGCTAGAAGGATACACTCGTCATATAATTGTCTTACTGTTCTTATTTATAGAAACAATAGTTTCTTATTTCTGGGTTATGACTGAGGACCACAAGGGACACATGGAATAAATGAGTCTTGTGCAAATGTTTTTCATGTTATGTTTGTGCCTCTGGACTAGTTTTTGATGTTTCATTTAACAGTTGCCAAGATGTGGCATCATAAACCTTGTAAAAGAAATCATTTACACTACATCTTTGCTGTGTGTAAACTTTTAGTTTCAGTGAACAATATCACTACGAATACCGCAAAATATTTTTTTTTACTATTTTTTGCTTTTCCCTTCTGGAAATGAATGTTTTCCATTCAGAAAATGACCTGCCCTAATGCCAAACAACCTCAGCTTCTGGATAAATATTTTATTTTGGTATTCTTTAGTATACATGTATTTCAGATCAAAAAAGCAATGTGTTCAGTTTTTTCATTTAGACCTTAACACTTTTTTTTCTTTTTCTTTCAAGATATCTATCCCTATCCATACCTAATTGATTGTGCAGGTATACCACATAATGTGCTTGCTAGTGACAGAAAACTGATGTAGGTTTTAATCTGCAGCATGAGTGTGTAATAACAGCTTGAGGTGAAGTTTTTTTTTGCCTGCCTGCAAACATATTGTGGGTTTATTCACATTTGTCTAACCATTCGTTCAGACTGCATGATTAAGAATAGTTTATACAATTGCCAGTTGATATAATGTAGGGAATACTCTGTGATTTTTGTTGTGGGTGTTCTGTCTCATTTACTCTCACAGAGAACAAGAGAAAGGTTAAAAACAAGGGGAGTCCAGTTTGCTTGCTTTTTGATCCAGGATCCTTTCAGACTGCCTACCAAGTGAAACCATTATATTTAGGAGACTTCCGTGTTTTCAGGGGTTTATTGAAAACAGCCAGTCCAGGTGCAAATGTGCTTTGTTCAAGGGCTTTCATATTAAGATCCACCATTTTCATCTGTTCAGCTTCCTAATTGAGCTTGTAATAACTTGTGCCCCTTTTGTCCATCTGTCCATCCATTTTCAATTCACTCCTGCTTGTGAGGGTCTCTTTGCTAACCCCCCCCCCAAAAAAATGAAATGTTAAGCAGCTGATGTTGCAATAGACTTTTCATCATTTTGTGATGTAAATCTGTTTCCCTTGCCCACATCCTGGAAGCTCTGACAAAGTCGTTTTTTCCAAGGCCGTCTGTTTTCACAACACGAGAAACTGAAATAGTAGCATATAACTGCTAACATATTGTGGCAACACATATGAAATGAAGGACACGACTTAAATATACTGCATGCTATATGTATAGTAGTTTTAAGATTTCCTTTGCATCACTATTCATTGTTTTCTAGAAATGTAAACAGAATGTCCTTTTTTCATAGTTTCTACAAGTAGAGGTTTTTGCTTTTAATAAGCCTTCACTGTTTCATATATTTATATACAACCCTGACTGGCCTAATTTGCACAGTAAATTGGTGTTGTACTGTATATAGGGCAAGAGTTAGCTGATTATGAGGTTTATGGGTTGAGTTTAAGTCACATGGAGCTGCTGCTCTTGGCAGCCAGTTCAGGGAAAGCTGCACTGGCTGGTGTTCAGTAAGGAAAAACCCACTCTAATGAGCTTGCCTCTCTCAAAGACTGGAATCAGTACTGAGAAGAAGCCTGGAGTGGCAATCAGGAGGTTTTCTGCTACACTGAAGAATTCTCCTCTCTGCCATTAGTAAAGGTCCAGATCCAGAAACTCTTTCCCCAAATTCAGATTTCAGATTCCCATGTTTCTGGTGTTTTTCTGCTGACATTAATCATCTTAAACTCTCTTCTTCTTCACTGGACTGCACAACCTGTTCTTCCAGTGTATAAGTTCATGGAACTTTGTGGGGGTGGGGGTGATTTTCCAGCGCAAAACAACATTGATCCCATTGGCTTGTAGGAATTGGGTTATAGGAAGTATAAAATCAATCAATCATATTAAACTGACTGGGCTCTGCCTTGTTGGCTTGGGATTTTTTTCCAGCATAACTAATAATGTTTTGGTTTTATTTTTAAATGCAAGCAATGCATGGGAACAGTAGAAGCAGTTGATACCTCACCTCATCTGAATATCACACAAAGGCACAAACCCTTTGTGGTGGTTAACCAGTAATTTTATTCTCCAGCATAGTCTGATCATAAGATAAGTTTAAAGAATCCTTTTCATAATGCAGCAGTTGTTTATTCAGTAGTATAGAAAGTATGGTTAATTTAATTATGTTGTAAATGAAAGAGTGTTCTGATTTCTAAGAAGGCACCTACAGGTCCTATACATAAAGGCGGCATCCAAGAACTGACTGTCAATTTTTGGACAGTCTGCCCATCTAATTTACTACAAAGTGGGTAGTTTGTCCAAAGTGGTTAGGTCTACATTTCTTTTTATTAATTCTTTATTTTACCAATTTAGTCAGTTGAGATCTAGTTCTTGTGATAGTGACAAACTGGAGACCCTTATTTACACATTAGGGTGTTTTTTGGAGCAATATAAGGGAGGTGCAGTACTTTCCTCGAGGACACCAGTATCATCCCACCTGGGATATCATCTAACAACCCAGAGTCCACAGACCTAACTATTACTCTAAACTGCTGCCTAATTTACTATGTAATAGTTCATATAACTATATAACATAGGAAAGGTTATAAACAAGTAGAGGCCATTTGGCTTATCCTGTTTGGTTATAAGTACTGTAGCTAATTGATCCAGGTATCTCATCCGGTCAACCAGTGTTTCAGCCTCAACAGCACGGCTGGGTAGCCTGTTCCAGCAATGTTATTGAAGCCAAAGCCCCTGCTTCTTTAAAAAAAAAAATGAAATGGATGAGTTTTCAGTGCCCTGCACATTTTTACAGTCTGCCGATGTTTAACTCAGGGGCTACAGATGATGATGAATGGGACGACGACTGGGATGAACTCAAGTCATCAGGGGGATTCGCAGAGTCGGAAGCTGGAGATGGAGGAGCCATGAACCGTGCTGGAGCCCATGGTTCATCCATGAAAATTGCTCTGAACAAGTAAGATGAAACGTTCTTTTTGTGTAACCCAGATTGGTCCCACAAATGGCTTTCTAAAATGTTTTTGCTATTATGTATTATGTGAGGTGATAATTCTGCAGTTTTACCTGTAAGGTTATGAATGTGGCACATTTTCACCTTCAAAGATGTAAAACATTTCCAAATGGATGTTCACATCTTTGATAGTAAGCTTTTGCGACTGCCTCACAAGCTGAAGGTTCACAGGCTCTCCCTCTGTTCATATGGAAAGGCATGGCTTGGTTTTATAGCCTATTCTAAACTGTCTCTTCCTCTGTTGTCTGTGGAACTGGCATGAATTCCCAGGGACGAGCAGTCATGTGCTCCCAGTCCTATCTGGTGCCCTGTATTTCCAGGATAGGCTTCAGCTTGCCACAACCCTCCTCAGGATAAGCAACTGTCCATTAATGGATGGATTATGTGAATTCCCAAGGTACTCACTTTGAGTGCAAGCTGAGCTCTGTAATCCAGATATCCAGATGCCCTGCTGGTCTTGTGACAGAAAGCTCCTCCTGTGACTTTCTGCTGCCTGGCAGGGTTTCAAAGAGAACTGGGAGAAAGACGGCACATCTCTCATCTGCACCTGCTGTCCTCTAGGGCACCATGGAGCTTGACGTGTGTCACCAGGATGAGCATGTCTGCTCTTCCTCATTCTCCTCAGGCAGTGCAAGAGTTGTTGATGCGGGCGGGACATAAAGTAACAATTAGTAGTTTGAAATAAGGGGAGTATAAAATGAATAATACAAAAAAGCTTATAATAATCCTATCATGTGAGCCTGGTCATGTCACTTGACTGGCATACGGGACTCTCCAAGTGACAGAGCATAACTGGCTGAGCACAGATGAGGTTAAGATCGGTTTAGTTAGGTAGGGCTCTTTCGGCAACTGAGCAACGGCTGCGGCCTTCTCAGGCGCTTGCAGACTCGAGGTGCTGTTGGTAAAGGACCCATTTCTCCCTCCGTTGGTGCTGAACCTCTGGTATGGAAATGATTTGCCTGCAAGGTGTAAAATGATGAGCAACTCTAAGATGAGCAGGTCGGAGGAGTTGGCCTGCATTTTTTTAAATCTGCAGTGCAAGTAGATGCGTGGTTCATAGCCACGAGCCAAGTCAGGAAAAACACACAGTTGAAAAGTTTGATTCAGATGGGTGCAAAAAAGAACTCGTCTAAATTTCCAAAACAATTCTGTTATGCGATCCATAGAACTGAAAAAAAAGGGAAAGAAAAAAACAAAAAATGCACCTTTTATTCGTCACCTTGTCTGTAATTGTATGATTGATGCTACTGTCATCAGGCGTTAAAGTTTTACTACCAGCTTGTAAATATCTTACATACAGTAACTTCAAAGATTAAGATGAGCTTTTGAATTTCTATATCCAGCATGAAGTTTCCAATCTATGAATGTAGTCTAATTGCAATCTATCACTTTCAGTGGATAAGTCCACAAATCCCCTTTAGCAACCCTAGACTAAACCACTGGACTAAACAAATGAAAATTCTGAAGAGGTTTTAAATTTAAGGCTAAACCCATTGCTCCAACCTGACATCCCACTTTTGAAGTTGTAACATCTCCAGTCATCTTAATGGGTTTCTCAATATACTTCTCTGTTCACACACATGCATTGTTAAGGCTCAGAAATAAACTAACTGAGATAATGAATACAAATTTCACATAATTTAAACTGTGTACATTACAAATGTGTAGTGAGTATAAATTTATTTGTTCTAACAGTTCCATGTATATAGTATAATGCAGTACGTAAAAAACATGGTTGGTGAAATATTTCAAAATTGAAAAGGTGTTTGCACTCTCTGAAAGGTTGGAACTGCTAGTGTATTCTGTTAAGTTTCAGTACAGAAAGATCCCACTAAGCCTGCTGATTAACGTTATGAACGTGGCCAGATGTTGGCAATTTTTGTTTTCTGCCTTATGAAGAGACTACTCTTAAGCAAATATCTTCTCAGGTAAAATACTTCTTGATCGTGGCAGTATAGAACACGCTATCCAGCCATGTTGTTGAAGCCAGTACTCTGGCTTCTTTCAAGACACAACCGGATGAAATCCTTGGATCAATTAGCTACTAACTACCAGATAGGCATGATGAGCTGAACGACCTTCTCTGACTCACAGCTGTTTTTATAATGTAAAGTGGAGGCCATTTTAAGAAATAATACCTCTCAATAGTGTTCACAATTCTCTTACCTTATTCATTTCTAGGACATTGCAAAACATTATATATTTACAGGTTTCCTGGATTTTCTAAATCGGGACCAGAGCTATATCTTCTCTCAAAACAACCCGTGAAGACAAAAGAAAAGATACCAATTTATGTAAGTTACCAGCTCAAAGAACTAGGTGGACTGAACTGCCTCTTCTCATTTGTTAACTTTATTTTGTTTTTTGGATCTATTTATGCATTTATTGGTTTTACCATTTAATTTGTGAGCATCTAGGCAATATGTTGGCTATGTTATTGTATGCTACATTTTGTTATCTCCTATTTAAATATTATTTTTGTAATTCCAGCTTGGAGAGGTTGGGCCAGTGTGGCTATATCCAGAAACACAGCTAGATTGTGTTGTAGCAGATCCCAAGAAGGGTTCCAAAATGTATGGCCTGAAGAGTTACATTGAATACCAAGTTACTCCAAGTGTAAGTGTGGCTGTTAGAGACTTCCTGTAATCCAGTTTGGATCTGCTTTAGTATATTTGTATTTTTTGCTACATTTTGTAGGGTGTTAAAAATGCATAACTGAATTCTTCCCTTTGACCTCCTACCACCTATTGTTATCTTTATATTTATTGATTTTCTTTGTTTATTGACTGTACTTACTGTCGTTATTTATTATTTGTCATTTTGTAATTGACTGTCTACATTTAGTGGTGTTGTCTGTCGTACTGTCATCTGCTGTACTGTGCATGTCATGAGAGAACAGCGCAAATAAGAATTCCAATGTATGTGTACATATGGCAAATAAACTCCTCCATCTCGCTCTCTCTCTGTTGCTGAATTTGGACAGAATTAACACTGAAAATGATTGCTGCTTCCATGCAAGAGAAACTAGTGTGGTGTTCTTCTCTTTTACTGTATTACAAAACATTAACTAATCACCATAGTTTTGTATTCTTAAAGCGTCTGTATTATTACTTCAGTGATTATTACTTTTGTCCTGCATCTAATGTGATGCATGATTTAGAACATTGTGACCTAGAAACAGGTTTAAAAAATATTACTAAATCAAATTTGTGAAAAGGACTGAAGTGTTACATTTTTTATTAGTTTTAAGCCATATCAAAGCTATATTTATATTCTGCCTCTATAAATTATGTGATTTTCAAAAGCTCAGATTATGTTTTAATAAAATAATTTTCTTTGTGTTCACATTACCTCTTGCTCTGTAAATCCTCATACAGCAATATGTTAATCGTTACAGACAACAAACAGACCTGTCAATCACAGATACAAGCACTTTGACTGGCTGTATGAACGTCTTCTGGATAAGTTTGGTTCTGCTATTCCAATTCCGTCTCTGCCAGATAAACAGGTTACAGGTACATTTTCTTCAGTCGTATTGCAATCGTATTGCATGCATTTTAGCATTTCAATGTACAGATTTTCCTTCAAAAGGAAACCAAAATGTTAATGTCACCTTCATTGCAAGTAGGATGGCACACATCATTGTTTTTATTTTAAAAATGCAATCACCTGACAGGTGGGCATGTGGCTGTGCAGTGTGCACAGATCCTCATTCTATTATGAAGCTAGAAGTGGTTGTAGGAAGTGTGCAGATGTTGGAGACGATGGGTTGTATAAAGCAGAAAAAACCTATAGGTCATTTGACATGCTGCAAGCTGCAAGCTCTATAGCGCCTAACTAATTAGAGGAGGACCTCTCTTGCTGAAGTCACTGCAAGCTTGCAGGCACCTTACCGGTCTCAAGAGATGCTGTTGTCTGGCAAACCAGGCTACATTTAGTCCACCCAACCCCAGGGGCACTTGGCCGGTTTTGCACCGCCACTTGGGAATCTTAATCACAGTCAGCAACTGACTACGTGCGTTTTTAATTCCACTTGAGTGTGTTTTGATTTCCGAACTCTTCTATCCAGTCTGAGTAGCACTTCAAGGTATACAGGTTAGGTTTTTTTCACCTTAATTAAAACAGAATACATGCCTCTGAGTATAGCTACTTCAGGCTCTGCAAATACTGAGGGTTTCTAAAACCAGATGGGCACCTTTCATACCCTAACTGTGTTGCAGGCCGGTTTGAAGAGGAGTTCATTAAGATGCGGATGGAAAGGCTCCAGGGCTGGATGACCAGGATGTGTCGGCATCCTGTTATTTCCTATAGTGAGGTCTTCCAGCTTTTCCTCAGCTTCAAAGATGAAAAGGTACAGTATGAACTTCATATCCATCTGGGGTAGCTTCTTCCTCCGTGCTAGCACTGCATGGTCTCATTGGACATTTGCAGCTTATGAAGCAAGTTATCTGATAATTAAGACTCTGTGGCCTTAAAGCTTTTAATAGGTTTGTAGGGCTGTAAAGATGAAACTGTTTGTAAGATTTAGTGCCCCTTAAACTCCTGTGCAGGAAGGCAGCCCAGATGCATTCACTAAGGAAGAATCATTCATTAAAAAGGGAATATGTTAACTGAAACATTAAATTCTGAGATTTCGTATAGAAATCAACTTTTTTGAGCCATCATGCAGTGTGTTACTCCTCAGTAATCCCTTGGCTTTTATTTGTTCCTTATATCATAGTTTCAAGATTAAATAACGGCACTAGACCTGACCTGAGCATTGAGGGGGGGTTTGGTTCCCCATCCCAAGGCTGGAATGAGATAGAACAGGAACAAGAAGAACACTGACAAGGTGTTTGTATATTAACAAAAGATGATGCAGCATAATCACAGTCTGTGAGAAGCTTTGTATGCCTGATATTGAGGTACTGCCAATATCGGTGAGACAGTTTTATCTACACAGAAAATTCCCACAGATATTCGTAACTGTTGTGCTCATTCATCCTAAAGCAAGTTAAACAAATGCAGTTTATTGCATTTGTAATGTCAACCGCTGCAACCTAAGAAAGTCTTTGAACAATTTGTACCACTGTGTCAGCTGCCCAACTAGTAACAGTAGAATTTGTGGATTTGCGTTAGTGCTCGATCAGAGGGGCGTACGTGGTTGCTGGCTCATCCAAACACACCGCCGCGTTCTTGTTACCAAGCTACAGGACAGCACTGAAGAGGGAGAAAGCGCAAGTGTAGCAACTAAAGGTCTGGCCAGACAACAGGACATAGTGTCTGCAGGGTTGCTTTTTAGAATCTAGTTACAGTTTAGATGATTCCAGCGAAGGTTTACTCAATTAATAAGCCTCAGGTAAACAAATTGATGAAGTGTAAGGAACAAATCAAAAGGAATCTCAGTTCTGAGAACAGAGAACTGAGTGGAGCACAATGAAAGCTGTGATGGGTCCTGCAGGACAAAGATCAAGAACTCAGTGAATGATGATGGTTTTTAACACTTAAAAAGATCTACCTGATGAGCTAAATAATTTGAACCTTATATTTGACATGCATAACTTGAGCAGAGAAATTGGAGAACTTAAAAGAGAAGCGCACTGCTTCTACCAGGGTTAAATGTGGTGCACAATATGCTTCAAATATTAAAAAAAAAACAGGAAGGAAAAAAGTCAGGAAATGTCCTTGACCTGATAACATCATCGTCAGTGGGCAGACACTGAGGTCACGTGCTAAGCAGCTCAGTCCTATTTTTAATTATATATTTAAAATATTTCTGAATCAGAACAAAGTACCCCAAATTTAGAAACAAGCAACAATCATACTATTTGCAAAACACTAATTTCCCAAGACGTTAAATTATTTCAGATCAGTGGCATTGACCTCTTTAGTTATGAATTACTTTGAGAGAATTGTTTAAAGGTATGCGTTCCACTAGTTAGAGCACCTGCTAGATGCCATCCAGCTTGCCTACAGGGCTAAAAGAAGAGTTGAAGATGCTACCCTCACATTACTGAAACTCTTATATTCACAACTAGAAGGTTCCAAGACACATGCCTACCTTTTATAGATTTCTCAACAGCCTTTTAAAACCATTCAACCACACTTACTCATGGAGCTATTACTCTCAAATTGTAGTCTAAAATTGAATATTGTACTGTAAGTTGGATTTTAGACTCTTTGATCAACAGATCACACAGAGTGAGGGTAAATAGCCTTATATCGGAACAGCTTTTTTTCTTCCACTGGGTCCTATCCAATACACTCTGTATACAGATGGCTGTAGAAGCCCTTTTGAAGACAGACACATCATTAGGTTTGCTGATGACAGTCATTGTCAGTCCCCTCAAAGCTGTACACAGTGATCATGGGCCTGTAGTGGATTATTTTGTTGAATGGTGCAACAACTCCTTCTTTCAATTTAATGTGTCGATAACCAAAGACATGTTCATTGATTATAGAAAGCTACCACAAGCTGCAAAAGCAACAGTCATCGAAGAGCAAGAAATTAAGAATTGTCAGCAGTTAAAAATATCTTGTCACTAGCCTTAGAAGAAAACACAAATGCAATATGCAAGAAGAGCCAACAACAAGTGTTCGTCCTAAGGAAACTGCTTTTTTTATTTTTGTAGTACAACTATGACTTAATTCTATAGAAATTTCATTGAATCTGTCCTAACATTCACTGCAGCAGTCTGGTTTGGTAACCTTAATATAAACAGACGGAGCAGGATTGTGAAGGTAGCAAGCAAAATCATTTGTGCACAACAGCTTTCCGACATCTGTGTCTAACAAAATGCAGAAGGCCAATTTAATCGACTATAATGACCACCCCCTGCTGAGTGAATCTGATTTTCCATCTGGGCATCGATTTAGACTACTCAGATTTAAATGCAATGGAACTAAGTTATCTTTCCTTCCCATGGCTATTAACCTGCTTAATTTGGACAGTTGCGCATATTTTACTTTATTTTTTCTTTCTCGTCATGCATGTACGATGTCTCTTCTTTGTTAATGGGATTATGTTGCGTTAAATGTTTTTTTTTACCTGCCTGCAAAGGAGATTTCTCATCTGGGACAATAAACGAAAGTACTGTAAGTACAATCGTGACATTATAGAAAAGGAATTTTACAGTCAGCCTCACAATAAATGGTATTAGATAACTATCATGCAGATTTTGCAAAGCTGAGTATGTCCGTTTCTGTGCAGCTTTAGAACTTCTCATATTTCTTGGCAGGATTGGAAAACTGGGAAGAGGAAGGCTGAGAAAGATGAAACAGTGGGAGTGATGATATTTACCACAGTGGAACCTGAAGCTCCTGACCTGGATCTAATTGAAGTGTAAGATTGGCTATTTTCATGAGTGGATCTCATGTGTGTGTCTCATGTGTGTGTGTGTATTACCTATTATAGATAACAGGAAAATAAAAGTTTCCAGGTCCAAGATGTTACCAAAATATTTCATATTTTCAATCAATTTAGGAAAAATTTCACAGCTACAATATTATAATAGTTTTGATGCAGGGATTTATTTTCTAACGCAAGACTACTTGTCTTCTGTGGCAGCTTACAGGTACATAAATTAGCTGGGCACCTAAAGGCCAGGAAGACATAATAGTATCTGTCGTGTTTTTCCTTGGCTAGGTGGTATTTAGTTTAACACAAAAACAAATTTAGGAGCAAACATTTTGTTCATTCACCAGTTTCCTTTAATTCGCCCAGATATAATAGAATAATCATGTACCTGTAAAAAGGAAATATTACTCCTTGAATGTTCACTTGCTTAAAGGCATTTTGTTTAATATACAAAAGGCATTTTTGAAGACTTCACAAACTCATCCAAATACTGCTGAATGATTAAAAAAGTGGAAGAATAGTTCAAAAAGTGTGTGAAAAGGAAGGACATTACTGTTTAAAAGTACAATTAGGAATGAAGAGCAATTGTAAGCTTTTGTACTGAATTTCACTCAAGAAGCAGTTAAGCTTACATCTTCTAAAGTTGATCAAGTAGGGTGCTGTGTTAGCATGCGTAGGCTGCAAATGAAAAGGTAAAGGTCTATTCCATGCTGAAAGGAAAAGTAAAGAGAGACAACATTTCGGCTGTGAACTGAAGGTTCCACAGCTGAAAAAGGCTCCACAACCGAAAATACTGTAACTTTTAAAGTTTAATGAAAAGACTCAGCCAGAATAAATAAAAGAAAGTAAATTATTGAGTTACCACAAAAGGAAATCACATCTCCAGTAATCAATGGATGGGAGTAAATAAACTGATGCTCAGACATTTTTTATGCAGAAAACTTTCAAGAAATTGAGGTTCTGTGGATGATGAGTTCCTCAATATCTGATTTTTGGCGTTATATTGAAATGAAAGTGCTTAATGTGTGATTTTTAAAACATAGTTTTTTAATTTGTCAGCTTTTCTTCTTCCTCCTCCATTACTCCCGCCTCTCTACTGACTCCCAGTTGTTTCACACATCCAATTCAAAACACTGTTTGTCAACTACTGTTGTCTCATCCTCTTTGCTCCTGCCTGGCTTCAATCTCTTATCTCTCCCTTAAGTCCCCCCACATCCTCTTCCACCAGACTTCCTGTACCCCCTCCGTGCTCTTCCTCTTCCAGAGTTTGTTTCTTCTCCACCCTCACTTTTCAGGGGTGGGATGAACTTCCCACAGGTATCGGAGAAGTTCAGGTTCTGAGCACCTTTTTCAGCACCTGCTCAAGACTCAAGTGTTTAGACACCTGTGTTATATCAACTGTAGATGTTCTGATTCTTAATAATTAATATATTTGTGAGATGAAGTTACTCATCCAGTCTGTGCTAGACTATTTCTTTTTTTTTATTTAACTAGGTTTTTGTACCTTATGCCTCCACTGCCTTACTTTTTACTTGCATTTTCCTTTTATTTGAACTGTTAAAGATACGTTAAAAATCCATATGCTACAAATCATATTCTTTTTTTAAAGAGAACAGAAATGTGAGCTGTTCAGTAGATTCACAAAAGCCATGGATGATGGAGTGAAAGATCTTCTCAATGTCGGCCAAGAGCATTGGAAAAGATGTACAGGACGTAAGTGTTAAACCCGATTTTGTGCCTTTGGAAAAGCTGCATAGACAGGACGTGGTTGTGTTACATGTCTGCTGTACAGATCTGTGTTCTCTTTCTTTTTTTTGGTCAAATAGTTTGCATTTGTGTTATTACCGCAAATTATTTTTGATTGTTTTGCTTACCACTTTATTAAACCCACAAACTCAGCAGAACAGGGTTTATCTTAAAGTATAATTCAAGTATAATGTAATTAATATATAATTAATAAAGTGTACAAGAAAGATTGCAAATGATGGGAGTTCATTTGGCCCCAGTAAGCCATATGGTAGTTGGCAGCTAATTGATCCAAAGATCAAGGACCAGTCATATCTTGGAAGAAGCCAGGGTATCAGCTTCAGCAATATGGCCGGGTGGTGTGGTCCATGCAACCACTACCCTCTGTGTAGTGCTTTCCTATTTATCGACATCTTAGTTAAACTAAAATGTTGTTTAATTAGAATTACTGGAAACTTTTACTGTTATCATAGCATCTGCACTTATTTAATACCTGAGCAAAAATTGAAAAGATCTAATGCAAGCAAAGTATTAGGGGTGTATGAAGAGCTTATTTAGATAATAGTCCATTTGAACTGCGAAGCAATAGCGCTTCTGAGTGTGAGGCTGAAAACCCCTGCTACAGGATTTGCAAAACAATTTCAAGCTTCAGTCTCTTGAAAAACATTTCAGCATCCTCAATGACTCGGAATCACTCATTGTGAAATTGTGACAGCATTGCCTTTGTGGTTTATTTTCAAGCTTTGCCAAAAGAATACCAGAAGATTGGGAAAGCACTACAGAATCTTTCATCGGTTTTTAATACCAGTGGATACCAAGGTATGTTTTGTGGCTTGTTTTCTTTAGTAGCAGTGTTTAAAACTCATTCACTGCTACCTCTGTGGGAGCAAATACTACTCTTACCTTTTGTTGTCTTTCATTGACTTAACTAGTTTATGTTCCGGATTGTGGATGAGTGTGATGCAACTAGGTGACAAAGCACACTTTTCAGAACTGCTGTTTTTTACAGGCTGTGTTTTGTCAGTGATTTCTGTATGATGTGATGAAATTGCTTACCTTGGATTTTTATTTTGTAAAATGTTTCTAAATAAAATGGGGACCTGGAATAAAAGTTATAATGTGCAGGTTGCAGCACTAGCTGCTGTGCAGTGGAGCTATGTTTGTCACAGACAATAAATTCTCAGCATGTCTGGGAGCATTCTGATGTGTTATTCAATTCTCAGCTCATTCTGAAAAAAATGAGAAGATTATTTTCATGCTAAATAATTTTCCTTTCCTTTTCTTTAGCATTTTCTAATTGAGAAATTTGCTTTACTTTATTTGTTTTACTTTACTTGAACCTGGAATACCTCCAGATTGATGTACGTTTGTGTTAATTTCTATGAATAGTCAGTCTTAATTTGCAGAATAAATATGTTGTTTATATGCATGTAGAAAAAAAACATATGGTGAGCACGTGGACAACCTCTTCAAGGATATGAAATAATACTATATGTTGTACTATACAATTAATCCCATTGTTTTAACTATTCTCAACTGATGGTTCCGTGTTTAAAATGTAATCATAGAGTAAAAAGGAAACAGACTTAAAGGGCTCTCATACACTAGGTTTAGAAGAAGAAACTATTAACCATGATGATAGTTAGTGAAATATAGATTGGAACATTGAGTTATTTTATACCTTTAGTCTTCCTTTTCCAGGGGAATCTACGCTCACAGATGCATTAACTGAAGCAGGAAAAACATATGAAGAAATTGCTGCTTTGGTTGCAGAACAGGTAACAAGATTCTGTTTTCTGTGGAGTTATTCAGCTGGTGCGTAAACTGCCCTATACTACTGAACTCTGGTATTGTGTTCCCTGAATAAGATGAAGTAAGACACAACACTCAATATTTACTTTACTAGCAGTTTTCCACTCTGCCTTGTCTTACATATTCTAACGGTAATCTTATAGTAGGGGTTGCTGCATGAGCAATGCAGTAAAGGTTTTGAGGGCCATTTTTGAAAAGAAGGACATTTTTACCTTTGAATGAAAAGTTATGTCCAGGCAACAATAAGCATCCTTCCCCTGTAAGATAGCGAAAGCACCCTCAGCTGTAAGAAATCTGGTTCAAAAGAGAAAATCTAAAAGGATGAGCAGCACCGTAGAAATGGGACAGTCCTGCACATACTGTTGCAACATGTTGTTTTAAATTTCTGTGAGTCCGAAATCTGGAGGATTTTGTGTAGGCTCGTATCTCAAGTAAATGTTGCTAGTAGGGAACCTTGAGAGTATTGTTTAAGAGGTCTTTACTGATTGGGTTTCCAAGTGACTCGTTTACCATAGGCTCTTGCTCAGAGCACTGGCTGGAGCCCTTGGTGCAGACTTGCTGCTGTGAGACCACTCTGTCATTGGTCAAGGATGATTGGGATTCCCCTTGCAACCCATGTGCACATGGTTGGGCTTTATTCAGCCAGGAAGTGACTCCTCAGACATGGCAAGGGTTCTTCTGTTCCTGTGTGCTTGTAGTGGGTCAATGAGAGATGATGTCCCCCTCTGTTCAGTACTTACTCCTATAAGGCTGTGGAGCCGGTAGTGTTAACTTACAAGTGGGAATATTGGAGTAATGAGTGTTCAGGTCCTTATGCTGCCTATGATAAACAGTTGTAAATGCCAAATCACATTTGCCAAGTATAACACAGAAATTACTTAGCAATTCAATAACAGGAGTCTTTTGCCGATGAAACATAGAAATTTAAGAACAGTATAATCTGTCACCCTTTATGCAGTACTTTATAACGTATAGCCAGACCTAAAGAAGAAGAAAAAAGGGCAAGTTTTATTTTATTTTACAGGATTCCCTGACTTTTGTTTTGTGCGTAAGGTGACAAAGGAGAGGAGACCATTCATTTATCTATACATTATGCTTGGGTGATTGCTAGTAGTTTAATGGTTCAAGCTGTTTTATTCAGTAACATAAGAAACCATTTATGATGATCTTTTGAAGAAATGGCTTAATGTAATTTTTTGTGTCAGTAATATAAACTTGAAAGGCCTACCTGCACGGCATGTGTGCTATGAATTCAAAAGGACAGGTCAGCGCATGGACATTGGAAATTACATGGGTGCAGCTGCTTAAGTCTCGTGGTCAAGGGCTTTAGACATTTGGATTATATTCAGTAGCATATTGAGTATTAGGAACCAAAGGAGGGCTCAGTGGCCCCCAAACAATCAGGGGATCTGAAAACCTAAATAAACTTAACTTGGTTCGCCACAGCAGCAATGGTTTGAGACTACATCAACATGAGAGGGTGTTCTGAGTTATTCCTCTGCAGTAATAAAATGATTAAATGACCACATAACACACCAACATGGAATTTTACCTGAATACCAATACTCTCACATGATAGCGAATATCTGTTTCTCTCTGCTTTCAAATCTGAAATGGAAAGTCCATCTTTTTTTTTCTTTTCAGTTTTGTCAGACTAACTCCATTGACCTCTGTTTGGCATCAATTCTGTAAAGAGATGAGGACCTTTGAAAGTTCCTTCTAAGATTGTTTTCCATCTGTATTTGTATTTGATGTTTGAAATGTTCTAACTCCAGTTAGACCCTGTAAGGCCTGTGTTTCTGATTGAGAAGTGCTGGTATTTCCTTTTTACGTAGTGTTTCCTGACTCTGCCCCCCTCTACTGTAGTTTCCTGCTATGTGTTGCTCCGTCTGCCCTCTTTTCTTTCCTTTCTTTGACCCTTGAGCCCACCCCAAGTGTTGATTTATATTGTAGGATGACTTTCAAAGCCCTTTTCCCCAGTCAGAAGAAACCCCACACAGTTCTACTGAATTTTAGTATTGGGGTTCTTCCTCAGTTTATACATTGTTGTTTATTTAAGCTTTTACAGTCATTTCCCAAAAAGAGCTCTGGGGCCAAATGCTTTGAAATTCATCCCATCAGAATTTGGCACGCTATATTTCATTGCTTAAATTCAGCTATGAAGGATTTGGTTGTGATTCTACAAATTGTTTCTTGGACATTGCCCTTGGATATGACACATAAACTGTATTAATCATTCCAACATTTTTCTCAGACATTAATTAAGTAATTTGCTTTAATGGTAGATTGCTTTGTGTCAGCATATTAAAATCATAATTCTTATGTAGTGAGTGTTTCTGAAAGAAATTTGACTTTAATATTCACAGACTAAGTTCAAATGATATGTTACTGTCGCCATTACTTATGGAAGAATGCAGATTCTTCCCCTTTATCTTTTTTTCCTGTTTGTTTTTTTTGTTGTTGTTTTTGGTAGAACTAGCGGAAAACTAAAATTCTGGTATTCTGTTTGATATCCAAGCAGCTTCCCTTTGGAGGACTTGCCTGGTAAGAAACAGCTTGTTGTTAAGTTGTGATTTTGAACTGGATGTTTTAAGTACATTAAGCAGTATTTCTTCTCCCATTTGTAATGCAGAATGCTTTTGGCGAGGAGGAATATCTGCTGTGGATATTCCAATTTTTCCATTGTACTGGTTTGAGATCTTATTGAACGTTTGCTGAAGAAAGTGAACTGTAGCTTAAAGGATGGTATTGTCAAGGCCTTCCACTGTTGCTCATATAATAAAATAGCATATAAACACAAAGCAGAAACAGACTGATGTAGAGTCAATGGGGGTGGAGAGACACAGTTTGTCTCTTTGTTCACAAGAGGGTTGTTGACGTCGGCAGCACTGGGAGAAAAGAGCAGACAGCATGGTAGGTGAGGGAGCAGGTTGTTTCTTGAGAAGAGTTGGAGGTTGGAGCTGCTTCTTTGAGAAGAGGAGAGAAAGCGACTCCCATCCTGGCTTGCAGGAGGTGAACTGTTGGCGAGGCACGAGGCACAAAGAGATGATGAGGTGTTAAACGATGAGAGGAGTGAAAGGGAAGGTCTAACAACACCACACAGAGTGTGAGAGACATGTGTCTCTGACAAGGTGAAACGCCAAGGGATTGAAAAGATGCGTGCATAGGGTGATCAGAAGGCAAATATTTATAGGATAGATTGCACTTTGACCTTCTCCCAAACTTCCAAATAGCTCCTCATGTTTAAAACGTATTAGCTTTTAAAGAAATTACTTGAATATATTAACATTTGGGGGTTTATTTTTTTTTAACCAAGCAAACTAACATGAAATGTGAATATCTTATTGGACAGATTTCACTCAGTGAGTGAAGAAGTACAAAACAGTATAAATTTCGTAATTTTCTGTTGCTGTATACCAGAAAATTGTAATTGATCTGCTGTGTAATTTACTTTAGCCAAAGAATACTGCTAATCACTTTACACGGTGTTTTGTTGAATTCCACCTTTTACCCTTTCAGTATTACTGATTTTAAGTTGTATTGTTACTGCATATTTGGTTTCATTTTTTACAGTAATAGAGTTATTTTTGCTGAACAGAATGACAAGACACAACTTTGGAATAAAATGATTTAGCAGAGTGTGCTGGCATTGCTGCTTACTTGCACAATTATTTGTGTTGTTCAGATTGCATGTCTCGCCACTGAAGTGTCTGTCTCCGGGAAGGGCAGATGTTCTTGCCATTGACTATATTACTTCCTGGGAGAACGTGCACTTCCAAGGAACTGAGTTGAAAAAGTGAAGGACACTCTTTAAATTGATGTTTTTAAATTGAAGGAATCAAGTTTCTGAAGTTGTCTCTCTGTATTCAACAGCCTCTCTGCTTCTCTGACACCTCTTGTTCTGCTTAATCATCATTTGGTTTCTCTTTTATCTGACCTCCAGTATTTTATTTTCACTTCTCCAGCATACAAGTGAGGCACTAGAAACTAGGAAGAAACAAGTTAATTGTGTGCTGTAGATAATAGAAAATCCAGATTGGCAGTGCTGCAGCTTTATGTCATTAATGTACATTTAATGATTAAGAATGATTAACAATAGAGTAATAATTTCTAATATTGTTACATAAAGTGACACATTACATATGGGTACAAAATAAAAATTGTGGAGTATTTTTCCAAACTGAAAGCTCTATACAGATCAATAATAATAAACCTCCAATTAAATTTATTTATAATATTTAAACAGGTCACATATATTTGAAATGTTTTTTTTACTTCAGTTAACATGTAATCTGCCTTAAAGGTTTTTTCTTTAGTCATAGTTTCTGGCTCTTTAGAGGCTTGTTGCACTTCAACAACTTCAAAATGAGAGGGAAAAGGGAGATTGTTTCAGAATCAGAGATGTGAAATGATACAACATTGTACACCATACAGTATATAGCAAAGAAATTAATTGTAAGAAGTAATAGCAAGCAGTGCTGGAAAGTGATGAGTGTATTTACTTTGAAAGTGCCTACCACGCATTGAGCAGCTGAGAAGAGTCGATTAATAAACATGTCACTGTAAAACGCCTGCGTGATTTGGTCATCATACATGATCAGGGTGATAAATACAGTAGTTGTCCAGTTGGAGGTTGACTAAACATCCACAGATTTTGCTAAATTATTAATTATAATTGACACTTAATTGAGCTTAAAATCTTGTATTACCTTGCACAGGTTTGATGACTAAGCCATTCTACTCTCCCTTGTCCGTTTTTACAGTTTGTGAAGAACAAATGTCATTTCATTAATTATTTGTTAATTATCCACTATGAATTTGCTATATATCTTTTTGTTTTCTTTATTTCTGTGCAGCCAAAGAAGGACCTTCATTTCCTGATGGAAACCAATAATGAATACAAAGGGCTTTTGGGATGCTTTCCAGATACAATTGGTGTTCATAAGGTAGGGCAGACTAGCATTTTAAGTGTCAACAATAAATGCAAAGTTGGTCTTTGGTATCAACTTCTGATGATTCAGAAATGGAAATTTCTTAGCTGTTCAGTTCATGTCATGTTTTTAAGGTTAGGAATCCTGTAAAAAGAAATTATCCTAAAAGCCACTCTATATGCAGATGTGCAGGCATGAAGTTTCCAATATCTGGTCTTGGGTTATATTTAGCTTGTAAAGTTTGAATTGGTTTAAATGTACTGTATATTGGTAGTCTTATTCTCTTTTAAATACGTATGCCATTAACTGGAAATTGTGACTTGAAATGTGTAGGAGCATTTTCTATAAACATGTGAAATAGTGGTCGCATGGTTGTTTTAAAGGTAGGCACAACCAGAAATTCTTTAGTTAAAACTAAGTTCTATAAACACATTTTTGTTTTTTTGTTTTTTTCCACTTCAGTGCTAACTTCTCGCTGTCAATTTCTTAAACGTTTTATTCAACTCCCTCCAAATCTGTGTTGTACCTTTACTAGGCAGCGATAGAAAAGGTGAAGGAAGCTGATAAAATGGTTGCAGCGAGTAAAATAACACAACAAGAAAAGCAGACAATGGCCAAGCGTGTGAGCACTATGTCTTACGCATTGCAAGGTGAGATGAAAGATTAATATTACACCATATATATGATAAACTCATTTCAGTGTGGGTTCTTCTGTCTGACTTGTTGATCCCGTTAAATAGACTGCCCTTTTGTGGATATCTGCAACGTGAAACCAGATTTTATTTTCGCAGAGTGGCCAATAAATAGCATACTGTATGAATCTAAGAAAGATGTGCAAATGTCAAGGCGCCATTCAGCCAATCTTGCTTGTTTGATAATTAAGTAAAACTAAAAAAAAATGTCCTGTCATTTGTTAGCCTCCACCACCTGTCTGAGAAGCCTTTTCCACACATCCACCACTCTTTGTGTAAACAATCATTTCCCTTTTAGTTTATTCTGTTTAGCACTGTTCTGAGTCACATGCTTACTGTATGATAAAATATCACTTCTGACTTTCCCATTAATGTTTTAAATATGTTTAACAGACAAACATGCTATATATAAATAAAGGCTTATAAATCTTCTTAAAATATTTTGGTTAGTGGTACGGAGTAGTTGCATGAGTTCTGGTCTTGTAACTGGAAGGTTGTGTGTTCTAAAATCACTTGTGACACTACTGTTGTTCCCACTGAGTGCTACAGTGCAATGCCTTCTGTATATGGATCCCAGTGTATGCTGCTATAGATAAAAGCATCAGACAAATAAATTGGTAGTAAGAAGTGAGATTTGTGATAACCCATCTGTGTTCTAATTAATTATTTCTGAAATTTCTATCCTATTTTAAATATTCCCCATTAAGCAGAACTAAATACAAAGTGTTGCCACTTATCAAATGTGTATATGTAGAGAATGTATACACACACATTGTAGTATATATATATTCTTATATACAGGGTTAAACAGGGTTTATTATGCAACTTTTGGTTTCATTTTCTAGCTTTCATTGTCTGGTTTCATTATCATCTTATATCTAAAGTATATCAACAGTCTAGATCTTTGAACATGATGGAGCCTAGTTTGTTCCCAAGGAAAAAGGGGGATGCCTTTTCACACAGCAACACACTTAGCCACTTATTGGTTCAGTGAGAATGTATGTGGCTATCACAAATAAAAATATGTAGTCTATCATGTTTCACTGCTTCAGCTGACCCCTGTTCTGCTCACCAACCTTTTCTTCTTAGGAATTTCCTTTATGCAGAGATGGAAAGACTAAAGTGCCTAAGGGACTCATTTGTGAGCTTTAATAAGCCTCAATGGCAGTAGCACAACCCCAACAACATACGTAAGATGATGCAAAACAATGAGTATTCTTGACTTATTTAAGCGTTTTTTATAGATAATAAGGACCACTGCTTGTCCACCAGTACTTTAATGGAACATGCATCTGCATTACCAACAAAACAAGAGCTCTGTCTTTGGCTACAGGAACATGTACAGATTTGCACAGTACTATGAGAAGCTGTATTCTATCCTATGGGAGTGCATGGCCTTCTGTGACCATTTCCATGGCTACAGACTGAATTGATCAACCCATACTGAAACCTTACTCGGAAATGTGGTTTAAATTAAATGGCTGCTTCTAATTTAGTATACAGGATTAGGTATGAAAGTTAATTTAATACAAAGTATTTTGTATTATAGCTAAGAGGCTTGTTTTTCATTCTTAAGCTGATGTTGTCAGGTAGAACAGTTACAGTACATGTCCAGTTCCTGTTAAAGTCTAGTTCCTGGCTATGAGTTAGTCACAAATAGAAACTTTGATATCAAACTTGTATGTCTAGGAAATAAATTAATTTAATCGCTTGTGGACTGACGTTTGACAAAACCTGTTAAGGGTAAATGTAGTACAAAAATACTTCACTTGAGCATGATGGTGTGTTTGTTAATATGTGTCAGATTTACAGTACCTAATGAAGCATTATCCGATCAATCCTAAACATTTGTTAGATGTGTAATGAGAACTGAGCCACCCATTCTGCTTCTTTTTCTGCAGCTGAAATGAATCACTTCCACAGCAACCGTATCTATGACTACAACAGGGTCATGCAGCTCTACCTGGAGCAGCAAGTGAAGTTTTATGAAATGGTAAGAGAGGTTTGTTAAATTAGGGCATATGTTTTCCTTGCATCTGTTTTAAATTGGACTTTTCAACAGTTTCTCTTTCTTAAAAAACTCTTAAGGAACTAAAGGTAATATGTTTCAGAGCTAGCCAACAGTGGCAGTTCTAGTTAAGAATCGTTACTGATCCTGAATTGCTTGACTTGCCCTACTATTTTTGTCATTACCTGTGAACAGATGGGATACATTTACCTGAGGAAACGATGACTCGGGTAAATAAAATCAGTGCTTCTCAAGATGAACTAAGTACAGATGGAAACATACTTGGCTTCAGACTTGTCATCACTGAAAATAAAGTCTTATGAAGCATTAATGTGATCATAATGTAGCTAAACTACAGCCTCATTTTATACTTTCCTTATACCGTCGCTTTGTTGTCTGCTTGGTGCTTTTAAGGTGATACTTTTTTCAATAGATCGTTTACGCAAAACTGCAAAGTGGAGTCCTGATCTGCTTAAGAATATAATTATCACCAGAATATGTTCTTTACAAACCTTAAATTAGTTTTTGTTTGTGGTTTCTCTTTTTTTATCAACCACACATGGGAATAGATTATTAAAAAGCTGGAGGTGTCTCTCTGTTTTATAATTTCAGTGAGAGAGATGACCATTTTAATTTTGCTCACTAAAATTCAGATGTGAAAAACAACACCTGATTTTCATTTTTTTTTTTTACATCTACTAAAAAATTGTTAAAATAGTACAACCTCCAGATGTCTCTGCTAGTAAAGACACATGCCTAAGCGCAGGTTGAGGTGTATGATCCAGGCAGAGCAGGTTTGACTGTGATTATGGAAGTAGCCGACTATGATGAGGATGCCCCAAGCAGCAGTGCATCATGGTCTGAGCACTGCCAAGGGCAGGTTGGCTGGGGCGCTCTCAGTCCCTGGTGACATACAGTAACAAGCTCTGCAGCCTCTGGCAGGCCTATCCATGAGGACCACACCTCTGCTTCAGCTAGTCCTAAATGAGTTTGTGTTTTCTGTGATGTGCTAAATTATAAATGGTTTCAAAGTGGTTGGGTCAGAGCAGTCTATCTGTACTTCGTCGTCCTCTGCTCTGTGCGGTCAATTGTCAATTTCGTATCAGCATTGTTAAAAATGAGCAAACAAGATCTCTCAATTAGTTTTCTAGTTGAAAATAAATAGCAAAATAGAAATTACATTTTACAGTTAGGATTATAGAACTGGAGATGTCTACAATTTGAATTTTTTTTTAAATTTCAGAAGCATGAATTTGTAATTATTATAACACTATTAGTCAGCTTTAATTATTGTGAAAGGTTTTTTTACAACAGGCAGAAAATGCCATTACTAATAACCATTTTATTTACCTGAAAGATTTTTACTAAAGTGCTTGTTTAAATATGTTAACTTTCCCACTTTCCTGGGTATTTAACCTTTGGTATTTGGGGTTTTAACCCCTTAATCCTACGGTTGTAGAGTTTTCAAAGGCCAAGAAAGCTGAAGCCTTCTTCAGCATACCATGTTTCCAGCCAGAGCTCGGTCTGTGTTGGGTTGACAGATTTCATCTGACAGATTTCAAGTATTAGCCAGCATAAGTCTTTACCAATATATGAATTTTTCCTAGATTTTTAGCAGCTTTTTCAACACAAGATTTGATTAATCTATGAATCTTGAATCTACGTAAACATACAATATAAATGAAGTGGGAATGCACTCATTTATACTAAGAAATCAACTGAATTCTGGCTCAATCAGTCCACTAATTACAGAGAAGTGGCATTTTAAAGCAAAAATATATGATCTAAAATGGCAGTGACATGTCTCACACATTCACTCCTGGAATATCATTGTGTAAACCTGCATAGTGTCATCAACATAATGGGAGCAATAAGGTCCGTGTTGTGTGTTGATGTATTTTAACATGCTTTTCTTTGTGCTTGTAGATTGCTGAGAAATTGAGGCAGGCCCTCAACCAGTTCACCACTTTGTAGAGATGACGCGCAGACTGAAGAAATTCCAAATCCAAAAATCCAAAATGTTCTTTTTCTATAATTCTTTATAGATACGTGTGTATAATGAATTTAATATTATATAATTTACTGTTACTCTTGAGCAAATTAAGAAAGAAACGGGAGTGGCTTTAAGTCATTACTGATGCACTTTTGATGGTTCCTGAACAGTACAATTGCAAAATCATTGCCTTCCGTTTGGAGACGCTGTAGATGTTTAATGTTAATAGAGAGTCGGTATAAGGATGAAGTTCTGAGGTCAGCTATAGTAGATTGTGATTTGGATGCATTTCATAAATATGCACTTATTGTATCCATGAAAAAATGTATACACGATCAAGGCATATTCTCTCAAAGCACAGCTGGAGTCCTTTAAATAATGTAAAGTGTATTTTTGTATTTAAAATGAAGTGTGTTTAGGGTAATTGTATATTACCAATTGCATGCGTAACAGGCTCAGTGCACTTTAACACATGACAGCTCTTAAGAGTTACCCAGATAAATGTATGAGGTTTAAAGAATAATGTCACGTGTTCATCCACTGGGTTTGAATGTTATGCAATATGACCATTACAAGTCTATGAGTCAAAGGAAAGACATTTTATGTCCTTAAAGCTTGTTTAAAACTACTAACCAGTTTATAGCATCTAATGTATGCCAAACAAAAGTAGCAAGTTAGTAGAATGCTGTATTTAATTACATACTTTGACTATTAATTAATGCTAGTGCTAAACACGTCCATATAAAACCATGCTTGTACTCTCTATTTTTTACATCTGGTCTTTTTTTTTTGGCTTGTGACATATTTATCTGGGTCATTGTAAACTATCACCAAATACAAAAAGTCATCAAATGCAACCCTTTCCAAAGCTTTTGCCAAACACTGTTTTGTATGTATCTGTAAAAATGCCTTTGCAGTACAGCTGTAGCCTTACTATAATAAAAGTCACAATATAATTTGGAATCAACATTTGTACTTCTTTTGGATGAATTTTTTTTTTTCTTTGAGCTGCAGGTATTTGTCTTTTTTACACGGATGCACACTGATTTAAGGTTTGAAAAAACTATGCAGTTATAAAGGAAGAGACTGGAGAACAGACTGCTGGATAAGAACAGCTCAAGATTCTGAAGTAAGATATGTCAGTGGCACTTTGCTTTGGTCTATATTGCAAGCTGCTGCTTGTAAAATCTTATGTGTAATGCTTTTGAAAATAATTTTGGTTTAATACTTTTGCTTGTATGAAATCATTCCTAATGAGGTAACATCTTAAAGCAGGAATCAAAATACAAATGTGCTTTGCACACAGAATTTTTATTCCTGTATGCCATTTATAACTTTACTACCTCCTAGCTGTACAGTTGCAGGACTCGCTTCTGAGGTCTAAAAGTGGTTTAAAATGCAGTTAGACTCCATCGGAAATTGTTGAGTCTAACACACAACATCGAGAGGGAAAGCATTTTTCTAAGCTGACTCGAAATGAAATATGTAAAAACGTACAGCTGGTAGATAAGAGCAGAATGAAAATGAGAAAGTCATTTGGCTGGTGCTCAGGCAGTGTCAAAGAACGGGTGTTACAGGAAACTGGATTTGTGCCCATTGGAGGAAATAGTGGGAAAAGAAGAACAGACCAATTTATTCAACACTCTCACTCTGTTTCAGGTGGGATTGGCCATCCAAACTTAATAAAAGGCATTTATGAGAATTTTGTTCTGGGTTTGCCAGTACACTTCACATTAAGGGTACTCCCACAGTTGATGTTTGGCATCAAGAATTCCAAAATCAGAAATACGCAGTAGTTCTAAATCTTTTGGTGAATATTTTCTAAGGCTTTTTATTTTCAAACATTTTTTTTATTTTTAAACGTTGTTCTATTTTCTGCTGTTTTAATTGTTGTTCATATTTAATAATATACTGTATGCTAAATGAAGTGCCACAAACTCCTGGCTTTTCAGGTCCAGGATTAAGTTTTACAAGGTTGAAAACAAATTGTAGAATGGATCATGGCCTCAAGAGATTCCTGAGAGGCTGATAAAGCAGAGATAAAGCATCTGTAAATCCAGAACCTCTTATCTGCGTATTTTATAAGGAAATATGAAACAGCTGTCATACAATTGTTTTTTTTCTTATATTTTTAGTATTTTTTGTGCGTGAGATTTTAGAATCTTATACTTCTATAGTATGTAGAGGAAGCCTTCTACATCACTGCAAATACAGAACTTCCACATACAGTATCTTCACCTACAGTAATACTGCCTCTTGCAGGGATAGTTGTGCAGATCACTGTGAGCTACACAACTCCAAAGAGCTACCGTCCTCCAAGACTATCTTTAACTGTCTTAAGATGGTATCATTCCTGCTCAATGAAATGGAAGCAGTAATGTGCCCATGGTAACAAAAGAAAAACTTGCCATGTTGCTGATGTGGCCTTACGAGGTAAGTGGATACATTTCACCGTTAATGATAGATCAGCAGCCATATCACTCTGCAGCCAACTCACAACTGGCAGCCCACTGAAGCTAAGCAGGTGTGAGCCTGGTCAGTACCTGGGTGGGAGACCTCCTGGGAAAAAACTAAGGTTGCTGCTGGAAGAGGTGTTAGTGGGGCCAGCAGGGGGTGCTCACCCTGTGGTCTGTGTGGGTCCTTTCCCCAGTTCCTCTTCAGAGATATGTCCAATCTCTAAAACGTATATATGAGTTCCTACTTCTAAGACACCAGAATACAAAACACAAAGTCACTTTATTTTTTATTTTACAAGAAACAGAATTCCATGGGTTTTTTTTTTCAGCTTCCCTGGGATTGGATCTTTAAAGTGTTGCTCAGAAGATATCGTTTGTCACTTACAAGCAAATGCATATTTACAGCAAACGTTTACAAATAGTGCTGCATGTCCATTATTGAGCGAGTTGAGCCACAATATGGAAATACATGGAAATGTTGTAACAGGTACTGTAGGTTTATTTCACGGGTAATTCCTCAACCAAGCATGTAACAAATCAGCACTGTGGTTTATAATATATACTAAATTCAAACATTGAATATTTACAATTTTACACTGTAACAGTATTTGATTTAATGTAATAGTTAACATATTCATCATGAAATTGAACACTTCTCAGCCACACGCTGACAACATGCTAATGTTTTGTGCATAAACTAGCTTTCTCTTGCTTTCCACTTCGACCTCAAATCAATTATTTCAGACCCTTCAACTCTTTGGGTTGCAATTACACTGGGTATAGAATGTCACCACCTCCTTTCAAAATAAGTACCTTTTGTTGTATGACACTCTGAAAATAACAACATTAAATTAGGCTTGTTCCATTTTTATTTACACACAGTAATCCACGGTAGCCAAGTGAAAATACATTTCCAAAACATTCTGAAAATTGACATTACAACAGTAAAATACCTTATTTTGGATAAGTGAACACCCCCCTCCCCTTCTCTTACAATTGCATTTGTAAACTTGCTCAGGTATAACCAATCATCTTGCAGATCACACAACAAACTAATTGGCTCCCACCTGTGATCAATTGTGGTGAATTTAATTAGTTTGGAATAAAAGCAGCTGTTTCTAGAGGATTCTACTGCTTGGAAGTGCATTTCAAAGCATAGAATCCACTATGGGCAGAAAGATGCTTTCAAAAGAATTTCAAGATAAAGTTGTGGAAAGGCACAAGTCAGGAGATGGGTATAAAAAGATTTCAAAGGCTTTAAGTATCCCATGGAGCACAGTCGTCTTGAGACACATCATTAAGAAGTGGAAGGCATATGGCACCACCCAGACCTTGCCTAGATCAGGCCGTCCCTCCAAACTGGATGACCGAGCAAGAAGGAGACTGATCAGAGACACTACCAAGAGGCCGATGGTAACTGCTACAGGCCTTCATGGAAAAGACTGGTCATTGTGTGACAACAATATCACAAGCATTCCACAAATCTGGCCTGTATGGGAGGGTGGCAGGAAAAAAGCCACTCCTTAAAAAAAAGCCATATCAAGTTTATGTTTTGCTAAAAAGCACCTTAAAGGTTCTGTGGTCAGAGGAGACCAAAACCGAACTTTTTGGTGGAATGCAAAACAGTACATCTTACCATCCAAAGAACACCATTCCTACAGTTAAGCACGGTGGTGACAGCGTCCTGTTGTGGGGGTGTTTCTCTTCATCTGGGACTGCGGCACTTTGTCAGGATAGAAGGGGAAGTTGAAAATGGGATGATGGTTCACCTTTCAACATGACAATAACCCAAAGCAACCATACAGTGGTTGTAGGACAGGAAGGCGAATGTCCTTGAGTGGCCTAGTCAGAGCCCTGACCTTAATCCCATCAAAAATCTTTGGAATGACTTGAAGAGGGCAGTCCATCAACAGTCACCAAGCAATTTGACTGTGGTTGAACAATTCTGTGAGGAATGGGCAAATATTCCTCATTCTAGGTGTGCAAAGTTGGTAGAGATGTATCCAAACAGACTCAAGGCTGTAATTCAAGCAAAAGGTGCTTCCGCCAAGTATTGAATCAGGGGGTGTTCTCTTATTTGGGCTTTAGGGCAACAAAAGGTAAACATTTTGAAAGGGGGTGGTGACTTTCTATACCTCCTGTACATAGCCCACTGAATCACCATCTTACTTTTCATTTCATGCTGCCCTGAGCAGCTCCTCATGTTAAATGTTTCTTCTTTTCATAGGTGTACAGAGCCCACCGATTCATCTTTGAGGATATGGTGGTGCCAACCTCACCCAACTCTGGTGATGTTCAACAGAAAATGGACTATTCCTTGGTGTTGGGTGGTTTAAGTGTGAGAAGACCCGACAGTCTCAAAAATAGTACTACTTCAAAACTCTAAGC